TGATTGACGGCGGTAATTTTAAGCCCAATAGGAATTAAGTTGGGTGAATTTACATCTGTCATTGATTAACTGGGGCAAATATTAAAATGAGAGTCAGGGAAACGATAAAGAGCAGAGAAGATAAATGTATAAACTCCATTCGATAAAGTGTGACTAACTATTTTTGACCTGACAAAAATAAGCTAAAGACACATGATGAGCAATGGGGACGATACACTTACAAATGCTAAAATGAAAACAGTCAAGGGTACAAGTGAGTAATCGACAAAGTCAAAATATGTATGGATAATGACCCGAGAAGAATAAATCAACTGATCTGTCCAAAAGCTAGAATATCCTATGTAGGCATGACATTATACTAGACATTACAATCTCATCAGTTCTGATGGGTTGTTTTCTGATAAACACTCTATACTAATTCAGAAAGCTTGGTTGACTTTTGCAAGTTCTAACCATAGGATGAATTTATTAAGTAGAAGTTCGCTCTGTTCTGCTTTGTATACTGGAAACATGGTCATTAAGAGTAGTGGATATTCGTAAGTGAATATTATTCGATCACTGGTGTCTTCGAAGTATTGCTCGTGTGTTCTGAGGCTAGTAGGGATAGGGTACTAGGTAAGGATGTCAAATCAATTTATGACATAGTGAGTCTTCATCGCTTAAGGTAGTTCAGACATGTGTTACTGATACTCAACTCCCGACTACCTCGATGAGTGATACTATTTGGTGTAGGAGATGTCTAAACAGAAACTAGGGACAACCAAACTAAACCATGGCACAAATCCATGTGGCAATTGACTACTGTACTGAGTCACGTTAGTAGATGTAGACTAGCTGGTTAGAATCTCTTTGGTTATCTTAACTAGTGACTATTGACTTTGAATGAATGCAGCGACGCAGGTGCATCCACTCTTTGTTTTTATTCAAATTCTAAGCTTTTTAATTCTTCACAATTGTTTGTTTTGCTAATTTGTATTTTCCTAGATCTCATCTACCATCTTTAATCTTTTCTATTAGCACTGATACTTTGACTACCTGTATGTACTATTAATTTGGGATTTGGCCTGACATTTTCATCTTGCTATTATGTAATGGAATGTGACAACTGATATGCACACAAATAGTAGACTGTACAATCGATCTGACTAAATGACGAAATTTTTTGTTCAGAATAAATGTCTTTTATATTTTTTTTTAACAAAAAATAGTCGTATTTGATTGTCTAAAAACTGTTTAGTAAATATTAGTGACATTTAAGTAGTATATTTAGATAAGGTAGAATGAATATCATATCATTTTCTTTATACGTGAAAGGAAATCACATGACAAATACAAAATACCAATCAGAACTGAGTTTAATACTAGAAACCGTCAGTCAGCTGTAAATCTTTATTCGTCCACAACGTGACAGTTTCCTTCTTCAGATAGTGAAGAAAATTTGTAGCTCAGGTAGACGATTGTGGTGGGATTTTGTTCACCGAGCTAGATGTTTCTTTCTCGCTACTAGGCCTCTTAGTCTTGCAGTCAGTAACCAGTCACCACAATATCCTCTATATTTCAAGCAGACAAAACGGAACATACCTGACCACATCACATCATAGAATGGAAAAGTACATTTACACACGAGTAAGCTAAGCGTGACTGTTAATAATAAACGAGATATAGATTACTGGTTAGCGTTTTTTTAGCGAGTTGCTTTTCTGTGGGATAGTTCGCTAACACCACGCGCAAACCACCTCCTTTATCCGGGCTTTTGACCGGCAGTAGCCTCACAGGAGCTCCAGGCGGCGTTCAGATATAGATCAAAACTAATAAATCTTACAACAGTGTTTATTAAGTCACATGAAGTTACTGTCAAGTGGACTGAGTCATGTTGGTAGATGTAGGCTACCTGATTGGGGTCCGTGAGACGATAGTCACCGATGGTTAGAGACCTTGAACAACATGGCTCAGAATCGTTTGCAATGGCGCAGATGTATCCACTCTTTGTGTTCTATGAAATTTTAAGCTTCTACATTCCTCATAATCTCTATCTTTCTCCTTGTAAATTTATCTTACTGAATTATACTTCTTGAATCATATCTTCACTCCTTACTGATAATGTGGTGTGTGCTACTTATACGAACGATATAAGTAGTATAAGAATGGACGTGAAAGAAGAAGTCTCACCGTCAGAAGAGGAAAACGGAAAGCTAATAGAGCAAAAACAAGAAATAAATAGAGCATCGACAGGAAGTAAAGGAAGTAACAGCAGGAATGGAAGAAGGCTGGAGCGTTAGAAGTCAGGACTCAAAGATGGTGTGCAAATAGAGTGTTCAATGTGATGTTTTCGTTTTTAATTGACTAAGAGTGTAAATTAGCAAAATTTAATCTATCGAGCATGCCTCATCCTTCTCAATAATACTTCTATTATTACTATCACTCTTGGATTTCAACTGACAGTTGCGTCTCTGTGCTGATGGGACATGGCAACCTGAACTGATGTACTTACGTACGAAGTTCTGCGTTGCATCTGCATGTCTGTTTAATGAGTCAATTATCATACAATAAGGTCATACACGATAATAACCCACCAATCAATCTTGGAGGTCACCTTTGTGTTTGATCTTCTTCTCTCTGATCTAACAGGACCCCAATGCTAGTGAAAAATAACTATCAAATTCTTATTGGTTATAAATGTTGGTCTAGCAAAGACTAATTGACATAAACCATTAGAAAATTATACAAACTCCACTAAATCGAACTTTGAAAAAACGATTTATTTATTAAAGTTGCATGTATGTATCAATAATGTTTACAGTTATGATAATAACATTTTATTCACAAAGTAGTGAAGGAGAACACAGGTGAGGACAACCGTATTGTATTTATCTCAAATTACAGAGTTAATTGGTAAAATAGAAAAACCATATCGTAAATCGTTAATTTGCAAAATATCAATCCATCATATCGAACTGGACTGTTCCTGTTGCAAAACATCAATCCATTGTCTGACATTTCACTGTTCATGCGTTTCATACAAATCCCATTGTGTTTCCCCCATTCTTCCTTTCTTGATCTTCCCCCATCTGCTGCCAGACATTACGTTGACACTCACGTCATATACTACTTATAAGTAGCGCGCACCACAACTATCCTAAAAAATAGTGAAATATTTTATGATGTTAAAACTTATAGGAATCAATCATTCACCATTAGCACTGATCGATTTCTCATGATTCCTAACTTATTTGAACAAAAGTTTCTTGAAATAATCATCATTGATGATAGGGAATTCGTGGTGATGGTGTGTGTACACTGGCGAGAGAATATGAGACTGAAGCGAATCGTATGAACTAGCGCTATAAGATAAAATCGTCATGCGAGCGCTGGAAAGCAGGCAAGCGAGTGAATAGGCAAATGAACGGATGAAGCTATATGGAGAATGGTTAATGAACCAACGCCTAGGATTGCAATGCGAACGAATGGGCGAAGAAAGCGAACGAACAGGCGAAGCGCGTTGGAGAAGGCTGTTGAGCTAACTCAAAGAAATAGAGCATGACTAACAATATATAGTCAGACAAAAATAAGATAGACATGTGATCAACGCGATAGGCATTCACACACATGAATAAAAGCGACGAATAGTTGACATGGTCAAGTGACAAGTGGGACACGTCATGTGAGCTCATAGGGATACTAAGAGATTTACATTAAAGCGAAAAGGAGAGTCAGCGCGTAGGCAGTAAGCAATGTTCAGTTGTACAAGCTCATACAAACCAGACAATCACAAAATACCAATGGTACATATAGGTTGTTGCTATACAAATAGCATGGTTACATAAGTTAATCGAAAGGCGTAATCAAACTAAATATACGCGAATTCAAGTTTATGTGGAGGCTCTACAACGGCAATATTTTCATAGTTGAATTCATGAATTGATTTTAGCCAGAAGGTCAGCATTCGAAACCTGAAAGCATTGAACATTTATTCCATCCTAGTATTGAACTTTTAAGAATGGCAGATCAATGGACGCAGTAGTGACACTTCATCAGTTGAGGTGGTTGGGACATGTGTTGCGTATGCCCAACCACCGACTGCCTTGTCGAGCTATGTTTTGTAGTGTAGGAATAGGTTGGAAGAAAGTTAGAGGCGGCCAAATCAAAACATGGCAGAAATCCATGAAGTCATTGACGAGTGGACTTAGTCATATCGGTAATTGTCGACTACCTGGTTGGGGTCCGCGAGATGATAATGATCGATGGTTAAAGACCTTGAATGACGTGGCTCAAAATCGTTTGCAATGGCTTCGGTGCATTTATTCTTTATGTTCTCTCAAATCCTAATCTTCTGGATTCTTCAACACCTCTAGTTTCGACTCTCTAAACTTTTCTCACTGAATCATACTTCTTGAATAGTATCTTCTAATCCTAACCTCTCCGATTACTTCTGATACCTTCACTACCTCTACTACTATTGGATTTGAATTGACAATTATATCTTTGTGCTGATGTGGTATGGCAACATGAACTGATGTACCTACGTTCTACGTTGCATCTGACTGACTGACTGAGTATTGAACTTTTAAAGCAATGCACAATGGTGGTGTGCTAGAGAACATTGATTTCGCGCGTAAATATTTAAACTAACTAAATTCTGGAAATCAAAACTCATTTATTTGCACTTATAAGTTTAGCAAATGTGAAAATAATTTCAAAACTATCTCTATAAGATTAAATTTTAAAATCGGAAGTAAACTAATAAATGTATAACTAACTAACTATTTAATAAACTGTTCAATATTATTGAACAAAATTAAATATAACAGTTATCATGTTATACTACAAACTTTGATAATTTACAAATTTTTTCACTCGCTCTCTCTCACTCTCTCTCTCTCTCTCTACATTCATTGTCCAATTTATAGACTAGAAAGTCACTATATATAAAAACTGATTTGTGATTTATTTTCAAATGATCAGTGTTATATATTCATTTGAAATTGATCAATTTTAATAAAATGTTGTTTAAATTAAGTAGTCTATTGATGATATTATTATTATTATTATTGAATTTATTACAATCTGAATATGAAATTCATGCTCAATATGTGAATAAAGATGAGTATACATGTCCATATTTATGGATGCAATGGAAATCGAGACGTACACTTGGTTGGATATGCGGTTCAGTGCCATATTTACAAACAAAGTAAGTTTTTATTCATTCATTAATCAATTGATCATTGAATGAATTTCTAAGAATATGAAAATCAATAAATGTATAAAGCATCATAAAATGAATCATTGTTAGATGGCCGTTTAATGCTGCACCTTGCAGGATTGGAACCTAGGACCTCCAGTCTTGTGCTTGAAAGCTTAAGCTTTGGACCACTGAGATGGTTGGCACTCATTGGTGTTCATGTCTAAAACTCTGATCAATCTAAGGATTTTATGCAACGCCATTCATTGTCTTCGGTAGTTACTCCCCAAACACCTGACAGGGTTGAACTTCACTGGTCATGTTTTCTCACTAGAACTTTGATCATTTCCCCAGGAAGTTAGTCATTAAGGAGCGAAATGTTTTGATTTTACATTATAGTAGTACTATGGAGATTTTTGTTTTATCTTGAAATCTTTGTTTATGTTCATGAATTGCTGAACTGATTTAAATTTGTTACGAAGATTATTTTCTCATCTAATTGTTGAATTACCTGTCATTGTAACTTGAATATTTTGCTCTAATCGAAAACTAATCGAATTCTTTTCATTTACTATGGAATTGTAAATGAAAGTCTCAAAAATAAAATGACATTTATAGACGTTGATAAACATATTTTTTTTCAAAATGGTTTTAAATGATCATCTAGTTTACACTTTTCATCAATCTCAGTAATTAAAAATTAATCCTTCTAGGGTTAATGCTGGTCCCAAGGTCTGATAAAGGATAAGGGTTGACAATGAGGTTAGCGGGCCCATCCCGTAGAGCTCTAAATAGCTAAAAAACCAAATGCTAACCAGAAAAGAATAATTCGCTGTTCGGCGGCCTATGCTCCATTAGGAGTAGCTGGCGTAAATAAGTAAGTAAGTAAGCAAGTAAGCTGGATATAGATGAATCTCAAAATTGATGCTCAATACGAATGAATTGATCTTTACACCATCGCACAAACCAGTGGTTATTTGAACTCAGTAGCTAAGTGGTAAACACAGTACTGGGTTCGAGTCCCGTGGTGGATATCTGCTCTAACAGGTACATCTAGCTAAAGATGAAACGCGGGTCCTAAATTATAATCCTAGTCATCTAATAATCTACATAATTGTGTTTTATTCCAATTCTCAATTAACGTTGAACGAATGAAGTCGATAATCAGGAAATCTTAAATCATAATTTTGAGCTAGATGACTCTCGTCATTATTAATGACCTCCAATATTGACAGGAATAATACGCCCCGTCAAACATGAATCTATATGACCAAGTTTCCTGTTAAAACTCAGTTAGTCAGCTTGTAATTTCGGGTCACTAGTAATCACACAATAACATGATCAGTCATATCCGATTTTCATTACTATACAGTGGTCTATTAGTGCAGGCAGTAATGACAGATAGTGCTGCAGTAAAATCCCAGTTACTTTCCTAAATTCCACAAAGTGTTAGTCGTACACTGAATTCGTGTATCACTCATTGATAGACCACCATTAGAATCCCAGAAGTACTGGACGACCGTTTCGTCCTAGCGTGGGCCTCTTCAGCAGTGAGCAACCATGACCTGTGAACGCGGGATTCGAACCCAGAACTTTCAGGCTCGTTCATGCTTAATAGACGATGGGCCACTGAATAGCAAACTTCAACCTAGTCGGTCCTCCACTCTCGGTTCAAGTTTTTCTAAACTGCTATTTAGTGTTTTGATGTCTGTCTCTAATTCTCAGCGCTATGCGTTTCTTGATCTACCACTTTTCCGTTGGCCCTGAGGACTCCAAGTTAGGGCTTGTCTCGTGATGCTCTTTCGTGCTTTCTTCAATGTGTGTCCTATCCACCTTCATAGATTCTTCTTGATTTGTTCCTCAACTGGAATCTGGTTTTTTCTCTTCCACAGTAGATTGTTGCTGATGCCGTCTTGCCAACAGACCCGGAGTTTCTTATGTTGACAACTGTTTATGAACACCTGTATCTTTTGAATGATGGCTTTTGTGGTTCTCGACCTTCCTTATCCATTCCATTGAACGGTTTTGATGATCGTTTCAAAATTTTGACTTTGAGATTTCTAAGCAGAATAATTGAATAGGGACACCTTATTTCTACTCATATCCCAATTTACATGAATCTAAAAATCTTTTAAACGATTTTTAAAAAAATTGCATTGATCATATTCACTGCAGACTCTGTTTTTGTTTACAGAGATTTAATGAGATAATATACAATTTAACGGTAACTAAATTATTATGTAATTGAATTTCTTATTATTTCATGAATGCATCTTGTCTTTATATAACCAATTCAGTTTAGAAAGAAAAAAACCGAATTTCATGATTTCAAATAAACCAATCAAAGAAATCCGTTTTGTTCAATGTTCAAACTTAATTTATCAACAGTTTGATATAATTGTTTAATGTTTTACTAATAAAATTATGAAACTCAACAAGCGATTGGATATCTGTTTCATTCTGATGATTTTGACTACGATAACTACAGTGAAAAATGTTTAACTGTTATTATACCCTTCGACTGATCAAAGTTAGACAACAGTACTGGTGGATGCCGCCAACTCAGTGGTCTAAAGGTTAAGCGTTCACGCGCGAGACCCAAGGTCCTGGATTCCATTCTTGCGTGCTGAAGTTGTGGATGCACAATACCACTGTATATTTAGATTGGGTAATTCATTCTGCTTAGCGTTTTTTTGGTAAGTTAGGTTTCTAGAGGATGAAGTCAATAACCTCACGTCTATCTAACCTTGCCGCGTTATCCGGGCTTGGGACAGGCAGAAGTTCGAGCCAGAGGAGCTTCAGGCGATAATTCATTCACTCAACTATAAATTTACTAAGGTTCAGCATTAATGAATAATTTCACTGTAACACAATGGGCAAACAGCATTACAGTAATTATCAAACAGAGTTAGTCGTGGAGATAAGAAAGGTTTGATTTCGACCAATTTGGTCTCGTGTGTTGGTACGGGTACGAGGGCGGTTGTCAGTTCCCGGCTGCCCACACCGTGGAAGGTTGTTTCTTGAGGAACCTGAAAAGGAACGTCACGCACAGCCTTTTTGTGAAAAGATTTTTGAGTAGTAGCTCCGCTCTTAAAAGCCCTTAGTGGGCACCCTTCACGACGGAGACGGAAATCCGTGAGGTAGGGTGAGGTGTGACATTTTTAGGGCCGACCTTTTCTAACCCTTCCTTCCTTGTAAAAACGCAGCAGCATCGCTGCAGATGCTGGTTGTCCGAGGGAAACACCTTACTGCTGTCACACCCCTCTGCAGTCAGCAGTACGACTTCGCCCTCAGACCTTGAATAGCTGCTTTTAGTCTCATCGTTCTCCAATCGACCTGCCTGTCATGGTAGAACCTTCAGGAACATATGTGCCAGCCAGTTTAGCTCGGCTCGGTCATCACGACAGGCAAGCCCGACCACCATGTCAAGGTAGCAGCTACGGTCTGGAATTATCAAACATATATATCTTCAAAGTTTATAGGTCATTTACTTCTTTTGAACTGGACAATATACAATGAAATAACTTTTCAATTTCATATGGCCTACAATAATTCCTCTACTTATTTCAATTGATAGTCAAGGTATCCTTAACAAATTTACAATGACATGTAATTGGTAACAGTCAATATGAAACCTCAAACATTAGAGTCGTGTTAATTGTTGCTGTTGTTCTTCAGGAAACTACACCTTGATGTTTGGTGCTTCCAGTAGGATTCAAACCCAATCGTCTTAGACTTGGAGGTTGTCAATGATCACACTGATCATTGATTGCTCACTCAGTAATCAACTAATCAAAGTTGATGGAAACCTGATTATTTCAGAGCACAAAGTCGTTTACGACTTCATAATAAAACTATAATCATGATCGAAATTAGTTGTCTTATATTATTCACCAGAAATTAAAATTTCTGATATACTACTTTCAAAATAATTGATAGTAGTTATTTCAAAAAAAGAGTTAATCCCTTAGAAAAATTTACGTAGTGAAATGACAAGATGAAGATTATCAAAACTATTAAAAGTGTTCAATAATGTATACTAAGATTTATTAAAGCCTTAGTCACTTAAACATATAAACCCACTATTCAACTTCAATCTACCTTGTTAAATCATGTGCTAATATCTACCCTCCTGGTTAGCGGCGTTTTTAACTATCAGCAACAACCTACTGTAGGAAAAAACAAACCAGATTCCAGTGGAGGAGGAAATCAGGAACAAGCTTTGCAAGCGGATGAGGCATCTATTGAGGAAGCCACCGAACTGTGTCACAAGACTGTTATGTTCGTCACTAGGTACGCTTGAAGCTATTACGAATTCACCTTAGTTGATAAAAAGCGAACGAGACAATTACCAGCTGAAGATAGAAGGCTTTGTAAGAGTAGAAAGTATATTCTATAACACTCAACTCTCGTTTATTTATACATCATAGAAACGTCCTTACGGACAGTCACAAAAATAGCACACTAAAATGCACAGCAGCCAATCACATCCGTGGATTTTCCTGGTGGGAAATGAAATCTCAAGTTCAACTGATCAGCCCAAGCTGGCGAACGTAAAATCCGAGATAAGCCATTAATCAAGCGAATTCTGGGGATCTAACATCCCCAACAAAGAAAAGCCCTCATCTCGACTCTCAAAGTCAAAGGAAAAGAGGAAGACCAAAGAACGCATTACGCCCAGAATCCAGGACAGGCATAAGAAGAATGGATAGATAGAACTAGAAAGGAAGGCCTAGGACAGAGGAGATTGGAGAATGCTGGTCAGTGGCCTAACAGGCTTAAGTACGTAAGTAAATAATCCACTCTCCTAAGCGGGGTTCTGGTCATAGGGTTAGCAATGACCCTATCTCACAGAAAAACAACTTGCTAACCAAGAAAAAAAATCAAATCCAAGATGATAAGTTTCACATTAATTTTCCTTCTTTAACCTTACAATTCATTTGTCTTTTTCGTTTGTAAAATCTTCATTGTTCACACTCATTCTTTTTTTATGTTTTCTGTCAGAGTTCCAGGTGTAAAATTTGAAACGGATTGTTGTCCTGGTTATGAAAAAACAGAATTATTAAATAATAAATGTGCATTTATTGATCGTTCATGGCAAACCATCGTTGATCAATTAAGAGAACAAAAATATTTACAAATAGCTCAAACATTTACGAAAAATAATAATAAATTGTCTGATTTATCATTGAATACAACAAAAAATGTTTATACAGTATTTGTACCACAATTTGATGATGATGTTAAATCGAAAGAAATGGATTATACCACGTAAGATTTGTAAAAATAATTCGGAGTAATATTGTATATTCTCTGGGTTTTTTTTTAATTAATGTATAGCATTAACTAGTAAGTTTTGTCATGAATTTAGAGAAATACAATGAAAAGTTATAAATGACACATTTGGATCATACGGAATTCTTATGATGGATTCAACTGCAAAATCGTGCACGAAGGTCAGCTAACAGACTCCTTTGAGGTGAAGATCGGTGTCAGGGAAGGTTGCTTACTCTCACCCTTTCTCTTTCTCCTGGTCATTAATCGACTGAATTATGAAGACGTCGACATCTGAAGGGAAGCACGGTATCAACTGGACAGTTGGGACGCAGCTGGACGATCTGGACTTCGCAGATGATCTGGCTGTTCTATCGCACACTCAACAACAAATGCAAGAGAAGACGACCAGTGTAGCAGCAGCCTCTGCAGCAGTAGGTCTCAACATACATAAAGGAAAAAGCAAAATTCTCCGATGCAACACAACATGCACAAACCAAATCACTCTTGATGGAGATGCTTTCGAGGACGATAACAACTTTACATATCTGGGCAGCATCATCGACGAGAAAGGTGGATCCGATGCAGATGTGAGAGCGCGGATTGGCTATGCAAGAGCTGCATTGAAAAATATCTGAAACTCTAAACAACTTTCAAGCAAACCCAAAATCAGGATTTTTAATATAAATGTCAAGACAGTTTTACTGTATATAGCGGAAACTCGGAGAACTACGAAAGCCACAATCCAGAAGATACAAGTGTTTATGAACAGTTGTCTACACAAAATACTTCGTATTCGTTGGCCAGACACCATCAGCAACAACGAACTGTGGGAGAGGACAAACCAGATTCCGGTGGAGGAGGAAATCAGGAAGAAGCGGTGGAAGTGGATAGGACACACACTACGTAAAGCACCAAACTGCGTCACAAGACAAGCCCTCACATGGAACCCTCAAGGCAAAAGGAAAAGAGAAAGGCCAAGGAGCACACTACGCCGAGAAATAGAGAAAGATATGAGAGGAATGAACAAAACCTGGAAAAAACTAGAAAGGGAAGCCTAGGACAGAGTTGGTTGGAGAAAACTGGTGGGTGGCCTATGCTCCATTGGGGGTAACAGGCGAAAGTAAGTAAAGTAAGTCGTTAGCAGTGGAGTATAGGATACGCGTGTTTAATTCGATTTGGAATGTGAATTGAGTTGGATGGTCTGGGACTCGAAACCTGTACTGTCTATTATCCAATTAAACTACTGACTTGTACAATGGAGTGAAGATCAGTTCCTTTGTATTGAACATCCTGTTACCCGTAACGGAGTATAGGCAGCCGACCATCATTCTCCAACCTACTCTGTCTTGGGCTTCCTTTTCCAGTTCTGACCAATTTTTATTCATTCCTCTCATGTCTGCCTACATTTCTTGACGTAATGTGTGTTTTGATCTACCTTTTTTCATTTGACCTTCAGAGCCCGAAGTGCGGGTTTGTCTTGTGACCCAGCTGGGCACTTTCCGCAATGTGTGTCCTATCCTCTTCCTGATTTTTTTCTCCTCTGGAATCTGGTTTGTTCTCTCCCACAATAGGTTGTTGCTGATGGTGTCTAACCAACGAATCTGAAGTATTTTGCGTAGATAACTGTTAATAAATACTTGTATCTTCCAGATGATGGCTTTCGTGATTCTTCAAGTTACCATTCCATACAGCAGAACTTTCTTGACATTTGTATTGAAAATTATAACTTTGGTGTTTGTTTAAAGTTGGTTTTTAAGTCAAGATATTCTTCAATTGCAGAAATGCAGCGCTTGCTTTGCTGATCGACCCCTTTCACATCTGCATCAGGTCCACTGTACTCACCGATTTCGCAGCCCAGATATGTAAATGTTTCAACATTTTCCAAAGCCTCACCGTCAAGTGTGATTTGGGTGATGCATATACATCCAGCTAAAGGCGAGTCTCAACTAGGATGAGACGCGCGTCCTAGATTTCTCTGCTGGCTACTATCTAATTCTGCTGACGGACTATCGAGTTAATCCGCATAGAATGCACAAATATCAAAACAAGACAGATCAATTACAGTCTTAAATATCAGTGAGAGAAGATTCAAGTAACCAAGCCTGGATAGTTGCTTTTTATTACTTTGGGACAGATCGACTATGTTCACCGGTGATATTACAGTGAACTTGTTAGGATATTCATCCAATATCCTAAGAGAATTATTGGTCAATTCCTATTGGTTCATTCCTACTGGTCAATTTTATGGTCGTCCTAGATATCAATGTCACGTGCTCCAATGTTGTTCCTGACTATCAATGTCACTTCAAATGTTGCTTCCTATTGGTCGTCTTAACTGTCAATGTCACACACTTCGATGCTGTTTACTATTCGACCAAAATGTATGTATACACATTATCTGTAATGTTTTATGACCAGGACCAGGACCCGGTCCCGGATCCCTAGTCCGAGATCCTGATTCTCTTCTGGATTCGGACGTCGTATTTTCTGGATGCTTGTAGAATACATGTTCTACTTCACATCAAGTCTTCTTATTTTTTACTGAATATAGGTGTTGGTATAATCGGAATTGAGTAGCATGTCGTGTCGTCGGATCCTCGACCCTTGCTCTCGTCTTTCGACTAGGTAAACTCGTTATAGTTCAAGCATATCAAGTTGACGTGTTTACGTGCAGGAGTAACAGGTCTATACTTTTAAATCACAAATGATGCTTAAACCATGATGGATTGGAATCCCATTTTACACTAGCTGTTAATTATTGTCAACTGACATAGTTGATTATTGCCTGAGTGATTTAATCATCAAACCTCATTTCAATTGGTTCTGTTTGTGTAACTAACCAGTATTCCTAACACTCATCATACCTGAGATAAACCTAAAGTCAAGTATACGAATTTGTATTTGACAAATGAATTACAAACAACATTTCGAATCTATGAACCAGAAAACAGGAATGGAAACAAGCGGATCTTGTGCGCGAACGTTTAACCTCTAGACCATCAATGAGAATGGCTGATAGTCGTGCAATATCGTGAAGTCGACCATAAACGCCGATGGATTCCTGTTCAGGGGGAACAAAACGGCGTATAAATCTGTTGTTAGCCACCGGCTTCCATGGGATTATATCTACTGACGTTATCCTACTGCCTATAGGTCAAATGGCTGAGATCTGACCGCCTAAGAAAATCATTTGCTTCCGTTTAGGAACCCGTGCAGTTTCACAGTCCACTCACACATTCAATAATTTGTGCGCGGCATAAATATTTAGGTGTCCCTTTCTGGTAATGTTTATGTGTTTAAACCAGTTTATCTGTAATTTGAAATTGATTTAACATTCTGTTAGGATATTCATCAAATATCCTAAGAGAATAGTTTTTTGAAGTCTAATTCTATTGGTCAATTCCTACTGGTCAATATTATGGTCGTCCTAGATATCAATGTCACGTACTTCAATGTGGTTTGCCATTGGTCGTCCTAACTGTCAATGTTACAGACTTCGATGCTGTTTCCTAATCGACCGAAATGTATAAATACGTATTATCTGTAACGTTTTAGGACCAGGACCAGTAGCCGGTCCCGGATCCCCAGTCCGGGATCCAGATTCGTTTCTGGACTCGGACCTCGTACTTCCTGGATGCTTGTAGAATACAGGTTCTACTTCATATCAAGTCTTCTTCTTTTATACAATCAGGGTTTGGACAATCGGATTAGAATAGCATGTCATGTCGCCGGATCTTCGCTCTCGTTTACTGACTAAGGTAAACTCGTAATAGTTCAAGCATATCAAGTTGACGTGTTTACATGCATGCGTAACACATTCAAAGACCTAAAGAAAATCCATAATCTTACTTGAACTACAATCCAAATTCAAAGACATAATATATATTCTTTAAAATAAATAGTTTTTTGAAAAGTTTGAATTAAATAACTTTTCATAAAAATGCTTACAATTAAAACAAACATGTTCTTATTGAATGCTGAAATTATTTTAGTGAATCCGATGCTGTCGGGGTAATGGTCGCTCCTGGTCGTTGGTATTCAAAAGAATTTCATAATGGTCAGAAAATTCCCACAACTAAAGGTACTAATATCAAAGTGACAACTTATTCTAATGGAGTAAGTTAAAAATAAATAGGTTATAACTCATTTAATGAAAAATTTCTCAGTTAAAGTCGAAAGATTTATTCGCAGATGAGGCGATACCAGAGCTATGCTGTGAAACATGGCCACTGATAATCGGGATATTCATAGATTACTCGTATTCGATCACTGGCGTCTTCGAAGCATTGCTCGTATATCTTTGGACTACTGACTAAGAAATCTTGGAGTTAGGAAAAGGGTACTACTAGGTAAGAATGGCAAATCAATTGATGAAGTTGTGAATTTTCATCAACTGAGTTGGTAATAACTGACTACCTCGACGAGCCATGTTTTCTAATGTAGGAGTAGGTGAGGAGAATGTTTAAGGCAGCCACAGTCAAAAACATGATACCAGTGTTTCAAGCCAATGACAACTGAATTGAGCTATGCTGGTAGATGTATACTACCTAGTTGGGGTCCACGAGACAATCGTAACCAATACTCAAAGACTTTGAATGATATGACTCAAAATCGTTTGCAACGACACTGGTGCATCCATTCTTTGTGTTCTCTCAAATTCTAGTATTCTAAAATTACTCATCACTTCTATCAGTCTCTTTTTAAATTTATTTCATTGAACTATATTTCTTGAATAACATCTTTGAACTCTAATCTCTCCGATTACCGCTAATACTTCTATTACCTCTGCCACTATGAGATTCGAATTGACAATTGCATCTCTGTGTACTAATGTAGTATTGTAGTGAAGGAGAACACAGGTGGAGCAATCGAATTGTATTTAACGAAAAATTACAGAGTTACTCAGTAAAATAGGAAAACCATATCGTAAATCGTTCATTTGCAAAATATCAGTCCATCATATCGAAGTGGACTGTTCCTGTTGCAAAACATCAATCCATTGTCACTATTCTCATGCGTTTCATACAAATTCCATTGTGTTCCCACTCTTCCTTTCTTGATCTTCCCCCATCTTCTGTTGCCAGACATTACGTTGACACTCACGTCATATACTACTTATAAGTAGCTCGCACCACAGTATGACAACTTGAACTGATGTACGTACCTATCAAGTTCTAAGTTATAACTGACTGACTGACTGACTGACATAATCGATTTCAATGAATTCATCTAACTGATGTTGAATATTTCATTCAATCAAATCTTAGAATTTAACTAAAATAAAACTTAAATTACATGAAATCAATGACAGTGATGTGTATTATGTGTAGTACACAAAATTACACATCACATTACCTACTTCATGTTCATATCTTTGTATATATTTAAAACAACAGAATGGATTCAATTTTCAATAGTAATTATCCATTGCAACATTTTTAAACTGATTCAATTACTTATGAGTGAGTGAGTGAGTGAACATTTGATTTTGAACTAAATTTTAGACAATTTTAAACATTTTACTGACCTTGAATACATTGTTTTAATTGACAAAATTCAATGCAATTTAAATTTTTAATATTTAAAAAGAATAATTATCAGTTGAATAATAATGTTTATATTATTCATTGAATAAAATTAAGATGTTATTTTTTTTTATTTCAAAATATGTTATCATGAATTTGAATTGTTATAAAATATGTATTTATTAAAATAAATATAATTCTCAGCCAAAAAGTTGAAAATCATTTTAATGGATTATAATAGTTTCAAAATTCAATGGCGTTTCAATGATTGTTAATCTTTAGATTAAAACACAACTGTTAATTCTTCATTATAGAGTTTTGATGGAGATTGTAAGTTATTACTGAAATTATTAATCAATGATTGTTAGACCACTATTAAAAATCTGGAAGCAGTGGACGGTCGTTTCGTCCCAATGCGGGACTCATCGGCATTGCGCATCCACGACTCCTGAACCCCATAGGATTCGAACGAGGACTTTGGGTCTTGAGTGCGAACGCCTAACAGCTGGACTACTGAGCTGGCATCCAATGATGTTAATGTTTAACTCTGATAATATAGGTATTTTACTAGACCTCACCCATTTGTCTTAGGTAGTTACTGCCTACATCCAACAGGATTGAACTACACTGGTCATGTCTTCACACTAGAACCCTGAGAATTTCCTCACGAAGCTAATCACTAGTGAACACATTTAGATAAATATTTAGTTATCAGGATGAAATATTGGAATTACTGCTTGAAATACGTCCCATCCTTTTCCGAGATAGTCTCACTTACAGTAGGATTCCTAATACTAGTTTCCTTGAAAAGTCGAAAAAGTTGTCTACTGTTGCCGATCGCCGCTGCCTTCTACATCTCTCTCGCTTTCTCCACCCACCACTGTTCTCGATCAATGCGTAAACTTTTTTTCAGCCTACGTCTAAGTTGACTCCGCTCCTCATTGTACTCAGAGCCAGGTGGGATGAGTTTTCGAGCATCCAGAAGTTCGGTAAATGCAACTGAAATCCACGGCTTCTTACAAACCTTATGGTTTGCCTTGCTAGCAGATATCACTGCTGTTTCCACAGCCTTTTTGATATCATTCCATCCTGCTTCCGGATGGGAATCGCCTATATGGTCGCCTAACCTTCTTTCTAGTTGTTCCTGAAATATATTTTTCGCCTTATTATCATTAAGTAGAATCATAAAATGTTTCCTCTTGGTGTCTTCCCTACGTCCAGTAAGCCTCGAAAAAATGCGCGCTCGCACTAGGGCATGATCTGAATCTAAACATGTGCCCCAGAACGAGCGACAGTCCTCTATCGAACCCCTCCATCGGTGGCTGATGGCGATATGATCTAGTTGTGTCCAATGTTGAGACGACTTCGGGGGTCGCCAGGTCAACAGATGCTTTTCCTTATGCCTAAAGTTGGTGTTTGCTAAGAATAGGCGGTTATCTGAGCATAGTTGCAACAGTTGCCATTGTTTGTTCTCTGAGCAGCGACACCATAACATCCACCTAGGTGTCTTTCATTTTCACTTAGTCTACCTACTTGTGCATTAAAGTCACCAGCCATTATTACTACATCAGAGCGCCTAGCCTTTTGGAGGAGGTTCGAAAGCTTTCTGTACAATTCATCTTTAACCTCGTCTGAACTGCAGTCAGTGGGGGCATAGGCAGATACGATGAAGAGGCAACCGCGAGTGTCCCTATCTTTCCGAGTCCTTACTGTCCCGTTTAGTCGGACAGCGCACAAACGACTATCTACTGGGATCCAGTCTAAGAGCGCTAGTTCTGCCCTAGGACTCAATGATATACCTACACCAGCGAGACTCCGGGAAGCAGCATCAGGGCTACCGGACACACGAAGAGTAAATTGGACTGCTTCTTTATTTTGATGAGGTACAATCAGATTAATAATTTTACTAGGATGCTGTATGCGCGTGTCCGAGACGCAGCATACATCGATTGAGCGACATTCTAAAGTCCTAGCTAATGATGCCTGTTGCCCTATTTGACCCGATGTCCGTACATCAAATACTACAATATGTAGTATAGAACGGGGTTTCAAGAGACCAGGAATAACTTTTCGTGAACTCGCATCGTTCGCATTTGCGGTGCAGCGTGATAAACGAATGTGAGAAGAGTTAATCGTGGAGATAAGAGAGATATTAGGGGGTGTAAGAAGGATTTGATTTTGAAAAATTTGATCTGGCGTGCTGTTACGGGTATGAGGATGGTTGTCATTTCCCGGCTGCCCACACCATGTTAGGTTGTTTCTTGAGGAACCTGAAAAAAACGTAGATTAGTGTCGGTTTGAGAGTTGGGAGCGTGACCGAAGAGCCATAGGAACAACTGCTTGAGGCCGGTCACGCACGGACTTTTTAAGAAGGGTTTTTGAGTATTAGCTCCGCTCTTAAATGCCCTTAGTGGGCACCCCTACTGCCGGAGACGGAAATCCGTGAGGTAAGGTGAGGTGTGACATTTTTAGGGTCGACATTTTCTAACCCTTCGTTCCTTGTGAGAAGGCAACAGCATCGCTGCAGATGCTGTTTGTCCGAGGGAAACACCTTACCGCTGTCACACCCTTCTGCAGTCAGCAGTACGACTTCTCCGTCAGACCTTGAGTAGCTGCTTTTAGTCTGATCGTTCTCCAATCGACCTGTCTGGCATGGTAGAACCTTGAGGAACATATGTTCCAGCCAGTATAGCTCGGTTGGGTCATCACGATAATCAAGCCTGACCACCACGTCAAGGTAGCAGCTTCGGTCGGGGCTTGAAATACATTTCATATCAACGTAGACAATGAAAAAAATTTAAACAAATGATCCACATTAATTACTTTTAATAAAATAATCAATATATATAGTGATAATTGAATTCAATTAGTGAGATCCATATGACATTGAACAGCAGATTTCATGATTGATAAGTCAGCCCTGTATGTATGCAGTTCAGAAGCTTCATATCAGAAAAGAATAACAACATTCTAGGTTTGTAGAAGTTTTCTTTTAGGTTGATATTAGATTCTAAAGAATTCTATTATACATGAATGAAGATAGGATGAATTGTCGGGGTATTCGTAGAAGACAAAGTTTACACATTGAATTGCCAGACTTTCATTTATAAAACAAGCAGATTATTTATTGACCGTCCTTGTTTCATACATTTTCTAGTCTTCAAAATACTTTGATTGCACCATACAGACGGATCCAATACATTTCTTTTCACAAATAATACTCAGGTGATATTGTGGTGTGAGCTACTTATAAGTAGTATATGACGTGAGTGTAAACGTAATGTCTGGCAGCAGAAGATGGGGAGAGATCAAGAAATGAAGAGTTAGAACACAATGGAATTTGTATGAAACGAACGCATGAATAGTGACAATGGATTGATGTTTTGCAACAGGAACAGTCCAGTTCGATATGATGAACTGTTAATTTGCAAATGAACGATTTACGATATGGTTTTTCAATTTTACTGATTAACTCTGTAATTTTCGTTAAATACAATTCGGTTGCCGCACCTGTGTTTCCGTTCACTACAATATTACTACTTACTACTAAGAACCCACCGTACGAGTAGTATCTCCCATATTATCTTCACCTTATTAATGAATATTAAATTTCCCATTGAGATACAAAAGTGTAACACAAGTTGTTGTGATTGATATAAACTTATTCTTTAGCATAATGGTTAACGATGATCGTTAATTTACGAAAGAAGTTCAGTCGTTTACTGGTTTAGCAGGACTTTGATATAAATTTTTGCAGCTTGAACTGACCAACCAATATGTTTATTCACAATCTTTTTCTTAAAAATACTTTTTCTGTAAACTCCTATTACAACCACTTCTATATTGGGACACAGTTGATTACTGTATAATCGAAAACGACGGATTCCCCTTCATTCAATCAATTCACTCATACTTACATACTTACTTACTTACTTACTTCGACCTGTTACCCGCGATGAAGCATCATAGGCCACCGACCAGCATTCCTCAACCTAATCTGTGATTGGTTGATGGATTACTTTAGTATGCTATTTTGTGGCTCTCCAAAGAGCGTTTCTATCATTGTATAAATAAGCTTGATTTGTGTGCTTGAACACCTCGTATTTTTTGGGTGCTTTTAGAATACATTCTCAACACCTTATCCAAGACTTCTTGATATAGTTAGCAGAACCGGAGACGAACGGATAAGAATAGCCTATCATGTCACTGAGTCATTACTCTTCGTTCCATTTGTAGTGAAGGAGAACACAGAAGAGAGCAAACAAATTGTATTTAACGAAAATTACAGAGTTACTCAGTAAAATAAGAAAACCATATCGTAAATCGTTCATTTGCAAATCTTCAATCCATCATCAATCCAATGTCTGACATTTCACTATTCATACGTTTCATACAAATTCCATTGTGTTTCCCCCACTCTTCCTTTCTTGATCTTCCCCCATCTTCTGCTGCCAGACATTACGTTTACACTCGCTTCATATACTACTTATAAGTAGCACGCATCACACGTTTACCGAGTAAAGTGAGTTAGTAATAGTTTCAAGTAAATCAGAGCTTTCATGTTATCGGTATCCATTAAACCAAGTACATTCAGTTTCAATGTTCAATGTCTGCAAAGCAAACCATATGTTCAATACCTATTTGAAAATGTCACATGATCGGAGTTAGTTCATGAATTAACTCAACACATTTTTGTATTCATTGAGGATTTGATTCTATTCAATGTTCAATTTCTTTATTTTTGTCAAGTATCGCTAAAATATTTTCAAAAATTTAATTTTTTTTTTATAGTTAACTTTTTTGGATTGTAAAGTATTACTTAGTCCAGATCATGAAGCATCTAATGGTTTAATTCATCGAATTGATGGAGTAAGTTAAATACCCGATTGATTGGATAAAATGTTCGTTATTGTCCATGCTTAACTGATTTGGTGCTTGTGATATAATTTAATATGATTACATAATAATGATAAATCTCGTATCATAGTATTATCGAAATCGTTGCTTTACCATGAAACCATGAATGAATATTTGATAGACCACCATTAGAAACCTGGAAGCACTAGTAGGCCGTTTCTATTGTGGTGGTGTTTCGTTCTCTGAGCTGGTTGTTTTGGTTGTGGAGCTTTCATTGTTCTTCGTCTGAACAACATCATCAGCACAAAATCAAGATAGGAGAAGTGAATCATTCGAATTTCTCCACGTTTGACCTGTAGCTTGTTCTGCTAACCTCGATCTTGATTGGTTACTGTTGACCTTTAACCTGTCGTTGTTTGCAACTTTGATGTATGGCAGGATGATCCGTTTATTTGTTCCTGTGCTTGATTTCGCTTCTGATGATGGTTTCGGTTGATGTTTTTTGATGAAGTTGCGTGGATAGCCGTTCTTTTGGAAGATAGTCATCAGGTGTTTTTCCTCGTTTTTTAATGCTTCGTATGTGCTGCAGTGTGTCTTCGCTCTCTTGAACAAACTTTGTATGCAGTTGATCTTGTGGGTTCTTGGGTTGTTGCTGTCGTAGTTGAGAATTAAGTCTGTGTGGGTTGGCTTCCGAAATACTTGAGTTTCTAGTTTTCTTGTGTTAGTTCTGGTGATTAGTACATCAAGGAATGATAGGCTGTTGTTTGATTCATTTTCCATCGTGAATTTGATGTCGTGGAAGACGTTGTTGATCCGATTGTAGATGTTCTCCAGCTCATTCCTTTTGATAATAACGAATGTGTCGTCTACATAGCGAACCCACATTTTTGGTTTGATCACTGGCAGAATCGACGCTTCCAGTCTCTGCATTACAGGAACCAACAAACGGATCATCCTACCATACTTAAAAGACATATCGGAACACGCAGCACGACTACTGAAACAATTTAGAATATGTGTGGCACACAAACCAACAGAATCACTTCAATCAATCGTATGTAGACCAAAGGACAAAATGACAAAGGAAGAAAAACCAAATATCATCTACAAGATAAATTGCTCAAACTGTGAAAAACACTACATAGGACAAAGTGGACGACCTCTTCAGCTCCGTTTACGTGAACATTAATTAGCAGTCAAACGCCACGACAACACTTCGCTTATATCAACACACACCGACAATTATGGACACACATTTGATTGGAACAATGTGGAAATACTGAATGGGGGGAGGACAAAGAACACTAGAAAATTTTTAGAAGCTTGGCACTCAGGTCAATCAGCAATCAACAAACACATCGAAATTGACCCAATTTATCAACCAATCAGAAAAATCATAGGCGACACAGGATCAAGAAACAGATCAAAAGGAGGATGCAATCAAAACAAAGTTGCAAACAACCACAGGTTAAAGGTCAACAGCAACCAATCAAGATCGAGGTTAGCAGAACAAGCTACAGGTCAAACGTGGAGAAATTCGAATGATTCACTTCTCCTATCTTGATTTTGTGCTGATGATATTGTTCATAAGAACAATGAAAGCTCCACAACCAAAACAACCAGCTCAGAGAACGAAATACCACCACAATCATCCACCTGATCTACAAGTTTTCTCCACCATCTCAAGGCCGTTTTATCCTAGAATGGGACTCATCAGCGATACTGTACATCCACGACTCCTGCAACTCGGACGATTCGAACGCAGGACCTTAGGTCTTGCGCGCTACTGCTTAACCTCTGTTCCACCGAGGTGGCTAGCGTCCAGTGGTCTTAATGTCTAACTCTGATCAATCTAAGGATTTTGCACAACCTCACCTATTGTCTTTGGTAGTTACTGCCTACACACAAAAAAGGGTTAAACTGCACTGGGTGAGAGTGATCATAGTCGGACATTAACACTGTTGGGGGCTTCCTCAAAGGCTGACAGGTTAAGCGTTTGAGCGCAAGACCGAAGCTCCTGGTTTTGAATCCTGAGGGTAGCAGGATTCAAGAATGTGCACTGCTGATGAGTCCCATACCAGGACTTGATGGCCGTCAAGTGCTTCCACGTGTCTAATCGTGGTCTAACAATGATTCATTAATGATTTCAAGGGAAAACTAACAAAGGTTATAACATACAGTTCACATATGCTTTTCTGAAAAACCATTTGACGTTATTTAGACTATAAATCTCTTTGTACATTAGATAAGAATTAAAATGACCGAATAAGTATCCACTGAACGACTTATTTAACGTCAGCTGTTAGATTTTCACGAAAATTGTTACGAACAAACTTTAATAACATCCGCGATTTCAATAAAACTCAAAAATCCTCACAATCCTATGGTAAAAATTATCATGTACTCACTAGTGACCAGCTCTGTAAGAGAATTTCTCCAAGTTCTAGTTAGAAGTCTTGACCAGTGGAGTTCAACTTTGTCCGGTGTGAAGCAGTGACCACCGAAGACAATGAATGAGATCGTGTAAGACAATCGATTGGTAGAAGTTAAACATTAACACTATTGGATGCCCGTTGAACAGTCTATGGATTGAACGTCCGCGTGAGAGTCTGTAGGTCCTGAGTTCGATTCCCATGTGTGAAGTACATACACGCATAATCTCTACATAACTAAGTGGATAACCGATAGTGTTGATGTCAATCAATCAATCAATCAATGATTCTGCATAATCCTTAATCTATTTCATGCTGGTGGATAAGTGTCTCACACCAAGCATAAATCGAATTCCATTAATCACGTCTTCTTACTAGAACTCCAATTAAGATCACAATGAAAATATTACAATGGCCACAAAATTTGTTTCTATTTTCTACCAAATCACGAATAATATACTACTGAATTAAATCATTACTCCTCTAATTTCATAAAAGAAACCTAACATATCATACTTGAATAAATCTAACTTATCTACACACAAGGAGCATGTTGAATTTCTGTATTTAGACGGCATAACACGATTCATTTTTCTTATCATGAAGAGTTGACGAGTAAATAAAAAGTTTATTCACTAATTTCATTGAATACAACAATCCTGGGTTCAATTCCCGTGGGTGAGGGTTGTGGATGTACATTGCTGACGAGTCCCATACTAGGACGAAAGAGCTATCTAATGCTTCTAGGTTTCTAATGGTAGTCTAACGACGATTGACTCATCATTTCACAATTTCTATACAGTAATCGTTAGCTTCGTTTAATAAAAGTTTGAATATATACATCCTTATAAATTGGTCGTTATTTACTAACGTATTTACTTACGCCTGTTATGTCGCATGGAGTATAAACACCCAATCAACGATATTCAACCAACTCTAGCCTCCGCTCTTCTTTTCAACTATTCTCAAGTGTTATTCGCTCTTTTGATATCTATCTACCTGCGATCCTAATCTACCTCTTTGTCTTTAGATATGAGGATCCTATGTAAAGGCTGACAGACTCACTCCAAATGAAGTGAAATAGTAGATTGCTGTTAACCGGAAAAAACCCCAACCAGAAAAAATCAATAGATTTGTTGTCCTTTTTGTTTGTATTTCTCTCTCTAATATTTATATATTTTCATTTCATTTAGGCTCTTCCACCGACACATAAATATCCAACAGTATTAAAACGTTTAACGGCTGAATCTGATCTATCAGCATTTGTTCAAAGTTTACCACAAGATTTGAAAAGAAAATTAGATGAACCGAATTCAAATGAATGGTATACAGTTTTCGCTGTACCAAATAATGTTTGGAATAAATTGACATCGGGCATTGTTGCAACCGAAGTAAATGTTGATTTTTATAGAGAGTATTTTTTTCAGAAAAAGATTTTACTATGAATGGATAAACTTACTTAAAATATAATTACTTACCTCATATGAAGCAATAGGCCACCGACCAGAATTCTTCAACCTACTCTGTCTTGGGCTTCCCTTTCCAGTTCTGGCCAATTTTTGTTCATTCTTCTCATGTCTGTGTGTTTTAGTCTCCCTCCTTCCCTTTGACCTTGAGGGTTCTAAGTGAGGGTTTGTCTTGTGACACAGTTGGGCACTTTCCACAATGTGTGTCCTATCCTCTTCTTGATTTTTTTTTCTCCGCTGGAATCTGGTTTGTTCTATCCCACAATAGGTTATTGCTGATGGTTTCTGGCAAGTGGATCCGAAGTATTTTGCGTAGATAACTGTTAATAAACACTTGTATCTTCTGGATGATGGTCTTCGTGGTTCTCCAAGTTTCCGCTCCATGCAGTATAACTGTCATGACATTCGTATTGAAAATTCTGACTATGGTGTTTGTTGTTAGTTGTTTTGAGTTCTAGATGTTGTTCAGTTGTAGCAATGCAGCCCTTACACTGTCGATCCACGCCTTCACATTTGCATCAGATCCACCTTGCTCATCAGTGATGCTGCCCAGATTTATTCAAATATACAAGTATTTTAAAAGACTGTAAAATAGAGAAATTCCATTGAGGTTGGTCATTTTCAAGATTATTTTGACTATAAACCAACATTATTTAGATAATTGTTTAAATGCAATCAGAATTCGATGTTCGCTTGGCTTCATTTATATGAGACACTTTTAAGAGTGGGAAAGCATAACTCCATTTAGTCCTTTGGACAATATAATCAGCATGTTAAGTTTGTACATTTGAAATAGTAATCAACATTAATCAGTTTGATGATACTAAGAATCCATTATCTATTGTGATCAACGATACCTGTTTCTCTATGGAACTTTGTTGAATTGATGTTGAGAGTTTAAGATGAAAAATGAAATAGCTACTCAACAGTTTCTCTATTTTGAATTTTTCCTTTAAAATGTATTCAAAACATTTCAAAATGTCTACTTCCAGACCTACTTTGCATTACATTCCGCCGACCAGCATTCTCCAACCTACTCTGTCCCTGGGGCTTCCTTCCTGACTCTGTCCACCTGAACTGGCGATGAGGAGTGAAGTGGTTAAGCGTGTTGACTGCTTTCTTTATCTTTGTAATCTCATCAGTCCTGATATCTGACAAAATCACGGCATGGAAGGCTTGTGCGGATTTCGCCAACGTTCACCAGTTGGTGAGATATCCGTCCGCTAACCAAAAGACGAGTTTATTGCGCAACAGTATTCTCCGTCCTAGTATACGGATGTGAAACATGGCCATTAAGATTGGAGAATATTCGTAGGGGTTTCTAAAGCATTGCCCGTAACTCGTCGGACAACCGAATAAGCAATGCGATAGTTAGGAAAAGTGTACTATGTAAGGATTGGAGATCAGTAAATGAAGCACTGAAACTTCATCAGTCTGAGGTGGTTAGGACCTGTGTTACGTATGCTTAACCACCAAATGCCTCGACGGCCGATATTTTGTGGTGTGGGAGTAGATTGGAAGAATCCTGGAGGAGGTCAAACCAAAAACATGGCACAAATCTATGATGTTACTGATAAATGAACTGAGCCATGTTATTAAGTGTAGACTACGTACTCGTAGTCCGCGAGACAGTTTCAATCGATGATTAGCGACTTTGAACGATATGGCTCAAAATGGTTTGCGACGACACAGGTGTATCCATTCTTTGCCTTCATTCAAATCCAAATCTTCGGAATTCCTCATCACTTTATCTTTCTCTTTCTAAGTATATTTCTCTAGATTTTGCATCTCGCAACCATAATCTCCTCCATTATGGCTTATATTTCTACTATGGGATTTGAATGGACAATCGCCTCTCTGTGTACTAATGTATTAATCGCAACCTGAACTGATGTATGTACCTACGTACGTACATATGAAGTTCGACGTTGTTTACTTAAGTTATCTCATTATCTTTTGAAGTAGTACTCTTTTAAGAATAATTTCATCAAATTTTCTTCTGAAAATTTTCTAATTATTTGACAATGCACTACAACTTCCTTCCTTCGTTCCTTTTTTTTTATTAAGACTAAAGAAGCGTTAGCACGACATCATGTCATGAATAAAATGCTTTGTTCCGATGCAATTGTCAAAAATTCTAAACATATTGGTCCAACATTAAGTGAAGCTTATATTGGCATACAAAGAAATTCAAATGGAAATTTAATTATCAATGATTTATGCAATAAACAAATACCAATTCAACGAACAGATTTAATGTCTGGTACAGGTGTGATACATATTATTGAAAATTCAATAAGTAGTTTGGAATGTAAGTAGAAATTTTTATATGTTATTGTTAACATTACTACTGCTACTCCGACTACTACTACTACTACTACTACTACTACTACTACTACTCACACTACTACTACTACTACTACTACTACTGTGGTGCGAACTACTTATAAGTAGTATATAGCGTGAGTGTCAACGTAAAGTCTGGTAGCATAATATGGGGGGAAGATCAAGAAAGGAAGAGTCAGAAAACAATGGAATTTGTATGAAACGCATGAAGAGTGACAATGGATTGATGTTTGGCAACAGGAACAGTCCAGTTCCATAGGATGAACTGATCTTTTGCAAATGAACGATTTACGATATGGTTTTCCGATTTTACTGACTAACTCTGTAATTTTCGTTAAGTACAATTCGGTTGCCTCCACCTGTGTTCTCATTCACTACATTTGGTGTCGCTGCCTGCTCGAAGGAAGGGGCTCCCGTGGCCGAAGGAGTTGCAGGACGGAGATTGGCGGAGCTTCCTGGAGGAGTTTGGGGCCACGGTGGAGCTGGTGGGGGCTTGGGGCGGAGTTGACGGTGCTGGGGACGCTGTGGGGAGGTGAGGCGAAGGCGGTGCACGACAGCCTGGACGGTGCCACCAAGGAGACGGCGTGGGAGACGGTCACCGGGCGGCTGATAATGGAGTTCGACAGCCCAGCGGACAGGGAGGAGGCGCCGCAGAGGTTCCGGTTGGCGCGGCTGTCGGCCGACGGTGACCTGTTGGTGCTTGCTGTGGAGCTCACCGGATTGCGCCGTGAGGAGTGGACGGGGCACAGTCTTTGGCGTCGCAATTTATCGAGTGTGTGCCTGCCGCCGTGTTCCAGCATCGGGAACTTGTAAACGCTACACGTTGGGTAGATGCCGTATCCATTCCAGATCAGTGATCAAAAACGATGACTGAAGTGGTAATCCGGCATATTGTAGCGTGTCACGGAATACGGAAGGTGATATTAACTGACCAGGGGCTCTGTTTTGAAGGACTGCGACGACAGCTTATTAAAAGGGGGGACCAGTGTGGTGCGAACTACTTATAAGTAGTATATAGCGTGAGTGTCAACGTAAAATCTGGTAGCATAATATGGGGGAAAGATCAAGAAAGGAAGAGTCAGAAAACAATGGAATTTGTATGAAACGCATGAAGAGTGACAATGGATTGATGTTTGGCAACAGGAACAGTCCAGTTCCATAGGATGAACTGATCTTTTGCAAATGAACGATTTACGATATGGTTTTCCGATTTTACTGACTAACTCTGTAATTTTCGTTAAATACAATTCGGTTGCCTCCACCTGTGCTCTCATTCACTACACTACTACTCACACTACTACTACTACTACTACTACTACTACTACTACTACTACCACTACTACTACTACTACTACTACTACTACTACTACTACTACTACTACTACTACTATTACTACTACTACTACTACTACTACTACTACTACTACTACTACTACTGCTACTACTACTACTACTACTACTACTACTACTACTACTACTACTACTACTACTACTACTACTACTACTACTACTACTACTACTACTACTACTACTACTACTACTACTACTACTACTACTACTACTACTACTACTACTACTACTACTACTACTACTACTACTACTACTACTACTACTACTACTACTACTACTACTACTACTACTACTACTACTACTATTACTACTACTACTACTACTACTACTACTACTACTACTACTACTACTACTACTACTACTACTACTACTGCTACTACTACTACTACTACTACTACTACTACTACTACTACTACTACTACTACTACTACTACTACTACTACTACTACTACTACTACTACTACTACTACTACTACTACTACTACTACTACTACTACTACTACTACTACTACTACTACTACTACTACTACTACTACTACTACTACTACTACTACTACTACTACTACTACTACTACTACTATTACTACTACTACTACTACTACTACTACTACTACTACTACTACTACTACTACTACTACTACTACTACTACTACTACTACTACTACTACTACTACTACTACTACTACTACTACTACTACTACTACTACTACTACTACTACTACTACTACTACTACTACTACTACTACTACTACTACTACTACTACTACTACTACTACTACTACTACTACTACTACTACTACTACTACTACTACTACTACTACTACTACTACTACTACTACTACTACTACTACTACTACTGTAGTGAACGAGAACACAGGTGGGGCAACCAAATTGTATTTAACGAAAATTACAGAGTTACTCAGTAAAATCGGAAAACCATATCGTAAATCGTTCGTTCATTTGCAAAATATCAGTTCATCATATCGAACTGGACTGTTCCTGTTGCAAAACATCAACAATCCATTGTCACTACTATTCATGCCTTTCATACAAATTCCATTGTGTTCTTGTAACTCTTCCTTTCTTGATCTTCCCCTCATCTTCTGCTGCCAGACATTACGTTGACACTCATGTCATATACTACTTATAAGTAGCTCGCACCACACTACTACTACACTAATTCATAAGTATTAACCAGTATCTTATTGTTTAGGCTTTAGATATGCAGAAACTAACTTTTAGTCTGTGTAAATATATGATGAGCCTAAAACGCTTGTTCCAGCCCTTGAACAAATCAATGAATCCATTCTTCTTGAGTAGTTATTCACAAACCCTTTCAGCTTGTCAGTTATTCGCTCATGACCTTTGCTGTTTTTACTTGAGTGAGTATGTTTAGTGCTTTCTCTGCTTATCAAATGTCTACCCTGTTTTTCTTTGGCATGTCTCATCAGCTTTAATGGGCTCACCTGCCTTCTCCTTTTCGCTTCGCTTTGCCCGATATTCTCATATCTGTCTGCGCGAACGACTGCCTGAAATAAACTCATCCAAGTGAATCCGCCGTCGCCTAAGTATGATATGTGGAAATTGAACAGAATAATCTCAGCACACTCTCGACTGTTAGTCCGAATTTGAGTCTCATCGCGAACCACTTAAAACTGACTAGATCTTTACTCCTTCCTTACTTTATATCACCTAATTACATCCGAAAAGTTATTTATACATCATACAGTCTGTGTTTATATTTCTATAAACTCAGTAGCTTTTCAACAATCCATTTCTTACACACTTTTTTATACCGTGAATCGACTAATCTCAGATCACCATTAGAAACCTGGAAGCACTGGACGGCCGTTTTGTCCTGGTATGGGATTCATCAGCAGTGCGCATCCACGACTCCTGCACCCCCAAAGGATTCGAACCCAGGAACTTCGGTCTTGAGTGCAAACGCCTAACCTCTGGACCAATGAACCGGTATCTAACGGTGTTCATGTCTAACTTGATCAATTCACGGAGTTGCGCAACCCCATACACAGTCTTCGGTAGTTACTATCTACACCCGAACAGGTTGAACTTCACTGGTCACGACTGCCCACTAGAATTCGGAGAAGATTCCTCACGAAACTAGTTACTAGTGAGCATAGGTAATTTCCATTACGGGGTTGTTAGGATTGTTAATTTACACGTTTTGCGCAACTCCGTGAATTGATCAAGTCAAACATTAACACCAATTAGATACCGGTCCAGTGGTCCAGTTGTTCGCGCGCAATACTGGAGGTCTTGGGTTCCAATACTGCGGAGTGCAGGAATCGTGGGTGCGCACTGCTTTACATTTCCATACCAGGACGAAAAGGCCGTACAGTGCTTCCAGGCTCCTAATGGTGGTCTAACATTAATCGATTCATGGTTTCAAAAATGTGTAACTTAACAATTTTCACAACCCCAAACTGCAAATCCATTTGTTGCTCCATCAGAATTTGTTTTAGAAATAATCTACCTGATAAGATCAACACATTGAGTGTTCATTTAATTAATACATGACTGAATAATTTAAAATTATGAACATATCAATGTTAGACCACCATTAGAAATCTGGAACCACTGAACAGCGGTTTTGTCTTGACATGGGACTCATTATCATTGCGGATCTACGACTTCCGTCACTCTCTGAACTCAAACCCAGGACCTTTGGTGTTGCGCGCCAATGACTAACATTTAAACCACTGATCTGGTATCTAATGGTAATATTGTCTAACTTCGATCAATCTAAGGTCTTGTGCAACCTCATCAATTTTCTTAGATGAGCACTGCCTCACACCTCTCATGGAAGCTTCTAGTGAGAAGTTATGACAGTGGAGTTTAACCATTTTCAAATGTAGGCAGTAACAATCGAAGACAATGGATAAGGTTGCTCATGACCGTGTTTTGACTGAAGTTAGACATTTACACCATTAGATGCTAGCTTAACAGTCAAGATGGTTAGATGTTCACGTGCAAGATCGAAGCTCCTGGATGTGATCCCCGTGTGCGGCGGTAGTGGACATGCACTGCTGACAAGTCGCACATCAGAATAAAACGCCCGTTCAATGTTTGCAGGTTTCTAATGGTGGTCGAACATTGATCGATTCATTATTTCAAAAAGTAATTCAACAATCTTCACACAACCCTTTCACGTGAATAACTTAAATTAATTAATAACCCTTGATGCACTACTATTCCATATTAACTACTAGAGATTGTCATATCATAGATAAGTTTTCATTAAATATAATAATACTCACAGAATTCTTGGTATTTTTTTAAATTTAGCAATGAAATTAAATGAAGCGCTTGAATGTTTAGAAAATAATCCTTCATTAGGCGTTAAACAAGCTGCCAATGAAATGCGTAAATGTCAGATGGATCTTAGCTCTCCAGGAGATGATAATGTTATACTTCTACCGAATGATGCAGCTTTTCAATGTAAGTAAATTTATTTTATGAAATAAATAATATACATTTTCGAAACCATGTATCGATCAATGTTAGACCACCATTAGAAACCTGGGAGCACCGGACAGCCGTTTCGTCCTCGTATGAGACTCTTCAGCAGTGCGCATCCACGACTGCTGCACCCTGCAGGATTTGAACCAAGGACCTTCGGTGTTGTGCACGACCGCCCTAACCGTCAGACCACTGAGCCGGTATCTAACAGTGTTAATGTCTAACTTGATCAAATTCACGGAGTTGCGCAACCTCATACGCTGTCTTCGGTAGACACTGTCTACACGCGAACAGGTTGAACTTCACTGGTCACGTCTTCCCACTAGAACTCGGAGAAGATTCCTCACGATGCTAGTCACCAGTGAGCATAGGTAATTTGCATTACGGGGTTGTGAAGATACCGGCTCAGTGGTCTAATAGTCAGTCAGCAACAGTATAGAACGTCGTACATCAGTGTAAGCTGTCATACCATATACCATAGTACAGAGATGCAACTCTGTTGATTTAAATCCCATAGTGGTAGAGCAGAGATTAGGGTTCGGACATATTATTCAAGGAGTATAATAGTCCAGTGAAATAAATGTAAAAAAAACAACGAAAGATCAAGTCATGAGGAATTAGGGAAGATTTGAATTTGAGAGAAGACAAAGTGGTGATACACCTACTCCGTTTCAAGCGTTTTTGAGCCTCTAACCATTGGTTATTATCGTCTCATGGACTGCAACCGAGTATTCTACACTTATCAACATGACGCAGACCACTTATCAATAACTTCATGGATTTCTGTCATGTTTTGATTTGATCGACACTATCTTCCTTCCAACCTATTCCTATATCACAAAACATAGCTCAACGATGCAATCGGTGGTTGGGCATTGGTAACACATTTCCCAACCATCTCAATCGATGAAGTTTCACTACTTCATCTATTGATTTGACAGAAATAAATGATAATCATAAAATGGAACAGAGATATTTTCTCATGGTCATTTAACGATTAAAAAACTGGACTTTATTGCTTTTCACATCTATTAAAATTCTTTTTAATGACTTCTACAAACATTTACGTTTTTCAGAGAGGGCCCGATTATCTAATTCAGTACCTAACCCATTATCTCACTCTTTCTTATTTGGTTGAATGTGTAACTGACATTTAAGAGAAGCAGCTAACCGAACAACTCCCACCTCAATAAATTTTACTGTATATCACAGTTAGCTAGCTAATCGCAGAAAAGTAAAGAGGGTTAGTGGTTCATGAGTGAGGGAAGGCCCTGGGTTCGATTCCAGCTTGCAGTGTCGTGGATAAGCACCGTGTTAGGGAAAGACGACCTCCTGATGTTTTCAGGTTTCCACTAGCGGCTAGTATTGATTGTTTGGTAACTTAGCTGAAAGTAAAGCCTATAGCCTTTTATTTCTGTTCAAAACTTATGAAAAGCTAAAACTAAATTCTAAATCCTGTCCAAGATCTTGTTTTCTTTACAGCTTCTTTACACTTAGCTGTATTATTTATGCGACAGTTTTAAATCACTCTTTGATATCCTCAAATTTTTATTCTTAGAATCGTCCTGTTGTTTGCGTAATGTCAGAAACTGTAGTCAGATTTTAGTATGACAAAGAAATCGTATATCCATATAAAAAGTATTACGCCTGCACGTAAACACGTCAACTTGATATGCTTGAACTATTACGAGTTTACCTTGGTTGGAAAACGAGAGCGATGATCGAGGATCCGGCGACAGGACATGCTACTCTAATCCGATTGTCCCAGCCCCCCACATTGAGTAAAAGAAGAAGACTTGATATGAATTAGAACGTATATTCTACATGAGTCCAGAAAGTACGAGGTCCGAGTCCAGAAGAGAATCAGGATTCCGAACTAGGGATCCAGTTCCGGGTCATAAAATGTTACAAATAATGCCTTATTTATACAGTCAGTTCGAATAGGAGACAACATTGAAGTCTGTAACATCGACAGTTAGGACGACCATAATATTGACCAGTAGGAATGGACCAATAAAATTAGACTTCCAAAAATATTTGATGAATATCCTAACACAAAATTAATAACTTTTTGGATATCACTAATCATGTATGCTCATTATTAATGAACACAACACATTTTAGAGATCTGAATTATTGAAATGTCTTAGGCATCGTCTTACATTCAAACATAATCAACGAAAAAGCGCTTCGTCCAACGTTATCTCCAAGAACCTAAGACAAATAAACTAAAATCCTATAGTTCTGTCAGATTCACTAATATCACACAATAGATTAAAATTAGAATTTTTAAACAAACGTTAAATGAGGGCAAACTGTTAAAAAATGTTGAGAGAATTCAATTACAATCTTGAATTGAGTTAGATATCACTGATCGACCGATAAGATGTTATAAGTTGTCTTCAAAATGATTAATAACGATATAACCTACTGAATATTAGTAAGTAATATAATTAATAAACAAAAGAAAGAATGGAGAAATTAGATGTTTTTGATTATTAGCGATAGTCACATAAAAAATAATGAATACCAGAAGTTTAAACAACCAATCAAAAGTAAATGAAATGACGGATATTTCATATTGTAATGTTTAAACACTTTTGTACAGAATGTTGTTTTTGATTGAAACCATGAATCGATCATTGTTAGACTTCGATTAGGAACTTCGAAACACTAGACAGCTGTTTCGTCTTGATTTCAGGCAAAAATGAAAATCTCCATAACTCTAAACTAAATATCATACAATGCGCTCACTAGTAACTAGTCTGGTGGGTAGATTTGTGGAGTTCAAGTGAGAAGATCTGACCAGTAGTGTTCAAACTTGTCAGGTCTAGACAGTAACTATTAATGACAATAGATGAGGTTGTACAAACCTTAGACTGATCAAAGTTAGACACTGATACCGTTGAATTCCAGCTCTATGGTCTAGAGATTAAGCTTCTGCACGCGAGATCGAAGGTCCTAGGTTTGATTCCCGAGAGCGGATGCTGAAGATACGCACTGTTGATATGCCCCAAACTTGAACGAAACAGCCGTTCAGTGCTTACAGCATACTAATAGTGGTCTAACAATGATTGATTCATGATTTCAGTCAATAATAAAAAATAATAAGTATGATTAACAGTTAACAGTCATGTCAGGGGACGTAAAATAAGGTTTTTTGTAGATCCTTTCACCAATCCATCAAATAAAGACATGATTATAAGATTTATTTGTTGCTGGATGACATGATCTATCGTATACCTCCATCATTTCCCAACGGAATTTGATCGCGTCTCCTACACACATTGCAGAAGCCATAGGAATACGTACATTCAACCTCTATTTATGTGTTCAGAAGAAATTCGTGACACTACTATCTCTTCCGTGGCCGGATATGACGTAACTAACGATGGACATTATATTTTTTATTTTTACACATGTACTTATTACGTAATGGTTTTGATGTTTTTTTAATGATTATTTGAAGTCTATTCATCCCCCTTTGACCTACCTACTATTGATAAAACTTTAATTATCATATTTTATAATTTTCTTACTACTATCAGTACAGCTCTGTCTTCCTACTATGATCAACTTGTACTTTTGCCTGTTATGCGTGTAGTGACTTAATCTCTATTTCATTACATTGTGATGGTTACTGACTCAAATTGCCTTGATTGGTTTAACATTTTCATGCATAAATATTCATGTATATTAGAAAGAGTAAAGCAGCCTGATGACGATCTAATCGAAAACAACATTGTTCGCTTATATATATGTTATACTGGTTAAGTTGTAGATACAACATGATCAGTTTGACTAGATTTATAAGAAGTAATTAGAGTAAATGTGTGTGTGTGTGTCAGTCAGTCAGTCAGATGCAATGTAGAACTTCGTACGTAAGTACATCAGTTCATGTTGCCATACCACATCAGCACACACAGAGATATAATTGTCAATTCAAATCCAATAGTAGAAGAGGTAGTAAGGGTATTAGAAGTAATCGGAGAGGTTAGGATTAGAAGATATTATTCAAGAAGTATGATTCAGTGAGAAAAGTTTAGAAAGTCAAAACTAGAGGTGTTGAAGAACCCAGAAGATTAGGATTTGAGAGAACACAAAGAATAAATGCACCGGCGCCATTGCGAACGATTTTGAGCCATGTCATTCAAGATCTCTAACCATCGATTATTATCATCTCGCGGACTCCAACCAGGTAATCGACAATTACCGACATGGCTAAGTCCACTCGTCAATGACTTCATGGATTTCTGCCATGTTTTAGTTTGGCCGCCCCTAACTTTCTTCCAACCTATTCCTACACTACAAAACAAAGCTCGTCGAGGCAGTCGTTAGTTGGGCATACGCAACACATGTCCCAAACACCTCAACTGATGAAGTTTCATTAACTTACATCTATTGATCTGCCATTCTTACCTTAGCACCCGATTTCCTAATAACAGCGTTGCTGACTCGGGTGTCCCAGGATATACGAGCAATGCTTCGAAGACACCGATGATCGAAAACAAGTAACCTACGAATATCTTTTACTCTGACTGGCCATGTTTCACAGCCATAAAGTAAGACGGAGCGAACCACTGCACAGTACACTCGTCCTTTAGTCAGCAAATGGATATCTCGCCTACGCCATAAGTGACGCAGGTGTGCGTGTATCAAAGAATGGTAATATTTATTATTATTATTATTATTATTATTATTATTATTATTATTATTATCTGTGTTGTCCTAATTTGGATAACTAATTTGTCATTTTCTTTCACATATATATTTTTACTTATTTTTATTAGCTAAATTCTACAAAGAAAGCATAAAACAAGCACAATTAGATAAATGTAAATTGTATTCACATCATTTGATGAAAATTAAAAATCCACAAAATGTTGATGCCTACAAAACAGGTTTTAATCAAGAACAAGAATTCAATACACAATATTCTGCACCAGATGGTTCAAAATATTCAGTTTATGGTAGATATATTAAAACAAGACATGGTACAAAGGTAAGAGCATAATTTGTATTGATTGTAATAATAATTAAGTCTTCTATCGCACACTCAACAACAAATGAAAGAGAAGACGACCAGTGTAGCAGCAGCCTCTGCAGCAGTAGGTCTCAACATACATAAAGGAAAAAGCAAAATTCTCCGATGCAACACAACATGCACCAACCAAATCACGCTTGATGGAGATGCTTTGGAGGACATTAACACCTTTACATATCTGGGCAGCATCATCGACGAGAAAGGTGGATCCGATGCAGAGTTGAGAGCGCGGATTGGCAAAGCAAGGGCTGCGTTTCTACAGTTGAAAAATATCTGGAACTCCAAACAACTTTCAACTAAAACCAAAATCAGGATCTTCAATACAAATGTCAAGACAGTTCTACTGTATGGAGCGGAAACATGGAGAACTACCAAAGCCAGAAGATACAAGTGTTTGTTAACAGTTGTCTACGCAAAATACTTCGTATTCGTTGGCCAGACACCATCAGCAACAACGAACTGTGGGAGAGAACAAGTCAGATTCCAATGGAGGAGGAGATCAGGAAGAAGCGGTGGAAGTGGATAGGACACACACTACGAAAAGCACCAAACTGTGTTGAAAGACAAGCCCCCACATGGAACCCTCAAGGCAGAAGGTAAAGAGGAAGGCCAAGAAACACATTACGCCGAGAAATAGAGAAAGATATGAGACGAATGAACAAACACTGAACAGAATTGGAGAGAGAGCCCAGGACAGAGTTGGGTGGAGAAAACTGGTGGTCGGCCTATGCTCCATTGGGGGTAACAGGCGTAAGTAAGTAAGTAAGTTACTGTTAGTGTCACTTCAAATGTTGTTTTCTATTGGTCATCCTAACTGTCAATGTCATGGACTTCAGTGCTGTTTCCTATTCAAGGATCCTTAGCCTCTTCTGGACTCGGACCTAGTACTTTCTGGATGTTTGTAGAATACACATTCTACTTTATATCAAGTCTTCTTATTTTACTCAATTTGAGGGTTGGGTAAATCGGATTAGAGTAGCATGTCGTGTCGCCGGATCGTCGATCCTCGCTCTCCTTTACTAACTATGGTAAACTCGTAATAAATAGTTCAAGCATATCAATTTGACATGTTTACGTGCAATCGTAACAGATTGACTCAGTATAACAATAACAATCATATACATTCTATCATTTCTACATTTTTTTATGCTATTTCCTATTACAGTTAACATTTAATCATGCTGAAGCAACAGAATTACATCCAATGAAATTTCATGATGGTGTAATACACATTGTGAAACAAGTCAATTTACCACCACAAGGTGATATTTCTTCATTGATTCAACAAAAATCAGATACTAAGTAAGTTCACCACTCTCTCTCTCTCTCTCTTTATTTGTATCTGATACTTAAGTATTAAGTTGACATTATTACAACTGAGTTGAATAGGATGTTCACAGTAGAATGTACAAATTTACTGTAATTCTAATGTTAAATAGAATTATCTACACTCTCTCTCAATTATCGACAGATCAGTTGAGAAGACTGAGTCAATTAAAAACGAAAACATTACATTGAACACTCTATTTGTACACCATCTTTGAGTCATGACTTCCAACGCTCCATCCTTCTTCTTCCATTCCTGTTGTTGCTTCCTTTCCTTCCTGTTGGTACTACTCCATTTACTTCTTGCTTTTGCTCCATTTGCTTTCCGTTTTCCTTCTCTGACCGTGCGCTTTCTTCTTTCACATCCCTTCTTATACTACTTATATCGTTCGTATAAGTAGCACACACCACACAGTTATACAAATCATCCCACGGCATTTATTGATAACATATGAATAATAACCTTAATCCTAACCAAGTAAATCATTCATGGACAATAGAAATCTCTGCGATACTTTTAACACTTAAGATCTAAAAAAGGGACAAACACTGAATGAATCTGCATTATTTTGATTGATTTGGAGCCTTATTTCAGAATATTTTAGAATATATGTACTAATATGGTGAGCTTATATGGTTTATACTAGCTGTTCAATAGTAACTACCAAAGACAAATGAGTGAGGTTGCGCAAAATCCCTAGATCAATCAGAGTTAGAGATTAACACCGTTGGATTCCGACCCAGGAGTCCGATGGTAAGGCGTTCGCCTACAATGCCGAGGGTCCCGGGTTCGAGTCCTGTGAGGAGCAGGCGTCGTGGATGCGCAAAGCTGATGAGTCCCATACCAGGACGAAACGGCCATCTAGTGCTCCCAGGTTTCTAATGGTGGTCTAACAATGACTGGTCGATGATTTCAAATATGTAAAAAAGTAATTCACCTTTTCTGACAGAGTTATTCACTCATCTTTAGACTTTGTTAATTATCCTCTCATCAACTTGGTTGTTTTTACTTGAGTATGGTATTTGCGTTGGTTAATTCGCTTACCAATATATATATCTGACGAAATTTTTGCCTGACAGTGGATGAATCGAAGTTATACATGTAAAACAGATAGATACTGGCTCAGTAGTCCAGAAGTCGTTGATTCGAATTCTGCTGATGAGTCCTACACCAGGACGAAATGGCCGTTCAGTGCTTCCAGATTTCTTCTAATGGTGGTCTAACAATGATCAATTCATGATTTCAAAAAGTAACTCACAATCTCCACAACCTCCTTAGTCATGTCTTATCTCATTGATTTGGCTCACTAGCCTTCTCCACATCTCTTCGCTCTGCCTTGTAGCCTTTTGTATTCTCATGTCTGTCTTGCATGAAGCAAATTCATCCGCGTAAACTATATTTGGCTTTTTATAATCGCCATCGCATAAACATGGTTCTTTTAAGCATGATATACGGAAATTAAAGGGAAGGTTTGTTTCGTATTATTTCTTATCGTTCGTAAAAATTTGAGTTAGATCGCGGGTCACTAAAATGGTTAGTCATACTTCGAATTGAACTTAACCGCTAAAATCGGTTACAATAATTGCTTGAATTCCAACTAGACATTATGAAGCTACTTATATCGCTCAGTTTTACAGTTAATAACTTTATGAAGTGATGACAGTTCTTAATTTCGGTATTTTCTAAGTTGTGTACTGTGCAGCAGTTCGCTGCGTCCTACTGTACGGATGCGAGACTTGGCAGTTAAGAGTAGAGGACTTCCGTAGGTTACTAGTCTTCGATCATCGATATCTCCGAAGCATTGCTCGTGTATCATGGGACAACCGAATAAGCAGTGCTATAGTTAGGAAACGAGTTCTAGGTAGGGATGGCATATCAATAGATGAAGTATTGAAACTGCATCAGTTGAGCTGGTTGGGACATGTGTTACGAATGCCTAACCACCGACTGCCTCGTCGAGCTATGTTTTGTGGTGTAGGAGTAGGTTGATAGAAAGTTAGGGGCGGCCAGACCAAAACATGGCAGAAATCCATGAAATCACTGACAAGTGGACTGAGTCATGTTGATAGATGTAGACTACCTGGTTTGTGCCCGCGAGACGAAAGTCACCAATGGTTAGAGACCTTGAATGACATGGCTCAAGATCGTTTGCAATGGCGCAAGCGCATCCATTCGCTGTGCTCTCTCAAATCCTAATCTTCTGGATTCGTCAGCACCTCATCTACCTTTGTCTTTCTAACCTTATCTCACTGAATTGTACTTCTTGAATAATATCTTCAAACCCTAGTCTTTTTCATTACCATTAATACCTCTACTATCTTTATCACTATGGGATTTGATTTGACATTCGCGTCTCTGTGCTAATGTGGTATGGCAACCAGAACTGATGTACTTACGTACGAAGTTCTGTCTTGTATCTGTCTGTCTGTCTGTCTATCTACTTTCCAAGTTATTGATTATTAGTTGTGTTAGTTTCTTGAAAGCAGTCGATAGTAAATTCTGTACGTTAGCCAATCATTTAACATCGAAACTTAGTAGTGCATGCTATATTGAGTCACTTAGGCTAGTAGTTACATTCAAACTTGATGGATAGAATTTGATTTTTTCTAAAAGAGTAAATAAACACGATGTTTCATACAACCTAATCGCTTGAGAGATTTCAATAAAGGGAGAAGATCTATATTTTGATTCATTACACATTTCAGAGCTTCTCATCAGCTATAAACAGTTTTAAGTTTACTTGAATAATATTATTGTTATCAAAATGTTTTACTACAAACCATGATCAATAATCCTAAATGTAACTGAAATAAGAAACACGAATAGGAAACAACATATCTCCTAGAGAGGAAGTAAATTTTCCATTAGTACAATCAGTAAACACTTCATAGATAGTGAACTGTTTTGGGGATGTTAGATCCCCAGAACTCGCTTGATAAATGTCTTCTTTTGGATTTCATGTTTGCCAGCATGGGCTGATCAGTTGATCTTGAGATTTCATTTCCCATCACGAAAATCCATGGCTGTGATTGGCTTCTGTGTATTTTAGTGTGCTATTTTTGTGACTGTCCCAAGGACGTTTCTATGATGTTGGATAAATAAACGAGAGTTGTGTGCTTGATTGTATTGTGATTGCTGGTTGTTTGTAGAATATACTTTCTACTCTATATCAAGACTTCTCTTTTGCAGTTTTGGGATCAAAGTAGCCTACCTGGACGGTGGTTCATTGTCTCGCTCGCATTTATCAACTAAGGTGAACCCGTAATCGTTTCAAGCGTACCTAGTGACGAACCTAACATGAACACAATATTTTTATTATCATATCACTCATATAAATGTTATGATTTACAGTATCGGAGATCTAATCGCGATATGTTCTGACTCCTGAAAACCGGCTACTTATGTGAAAAGATAAAAGTAGTAAAGAAGGTTTATATGACTTTCCAGTAATATTTACAAGTAGTCCTATGAAAATATATTCTTTAGCCGAGGAAATCATTTCTTGACTAATGATACGCACTCATGCTTTAGGACATTTTCTAATGGTCATCAAATGGACTTCTCATTTTGGCCATTTCTTATTGGTTCACTATATATCAGTAAATGTAGTCCACTTAAAGCTGATGAGAAGCTCTGAAATACATAATGAACTCATCTTACTTACGCCTGTTACCCCTAATAGATTATAGGCCTCCGATCAGTAATATCAAAAATACTGTGTTCTGGGACTTCCTTTCCAGTTCTACCCACCTTTTGTTCATTCCATTCATATCTGCTTCCGATTCCTGCAGAACAAACCAGATTCCAGAGGAGGAGAAAATCAGGAAGAAGCGGTGTAAGTGGACACAATGAGGAAAGCACACAACTGCATCACAAGACATGCCCTCACTTGGAACCCTAAAAGTAAAATGAAAAGAGGAAGACAGACATGAGAAGAATGAACACAAATTTGACAGAACTGCAAAGGGAAGCTCAGGACAGAGTAGGTTTGAGAATGGTGGTCGGCGGTCTATGCTCTATAAGGGGTAATGGGAGTAAGTAAGTAAGTAAGTAAGTAATCCAATTCCCTCAGCAACTTGACTGAACCTGTCAATCTCCCACACAGTATGGATATTCCATCTCCCTATAATAATGGTTGTTCTGATTGTCAGAAGGTGCATCAATCTCGTGACTTCCGAAGAAACTCAACTTTCATCATAAGACATCATAACTCTTCTAAACGAAGATCTTCCAACCACCAAGGCAGAGTCTGAATAGTTCAAATTCTTATTTCTGGTTCGCCTTTTTGTATCGCGTTGGTTTACCTCAGGATGACATAACTAGTCTCATACCCAACCCTCCTAATTTAGCCAGACTTGAAACCATCAGCAACCCCAGAAGGGCTACAGACGGAGTTAAGGAATGCATGCTATTCTGCAAAGATATTAGCCTTCTCACTTTATTTAAAACACATGATATTGATGAGTATTTACTGATTATTAACCCATCATATCATTAATTATCGATCAAATAATAATAAGATTCATTATTATTTTTCCTCTTTCCTTTTAATTATTAGAGAAATTTCAACAAAATTTATGTCAACTGATTTTCGTCAACAATTAACTCCGCACAAACCAAATGTATTATTTTTAGCACCAATTGATTTAGGATGGAAAACAAGAGATTTAGAAAATTCTTATTCAATTGAACAAACTCGTAAAGTAAGCCTGATGTAATCAATCATATATGTATGTATGTATGTATGTATGTATGTGTTTTTGTTACCTTTAATGAACAATAATTGAAGCCATTCTGAGGCTACTGGCCTGTTCCAAGCTTGGATAAAGAAGAAAGGCTAGATATGAGGTTAGCGACCCTACTTCGCAGAAAAGTAACTCAATCAAAGAAACGTTAACTAGAAAAATTATTCAATTTTAACGAAAGTAAAGATATAAACATTTTACTAAAGTTTTCTTTTGAAGCTTTTCCAGAGTATAGGTGAACTATCGAATAACTTGTGATGATTTACTCACCTACTTACTTACTTACTTACTTACTTACTTACTTGCTTACTTACTTACTTACTTACTTACTTACTTACTTACTTACTTACTTACTTACTTACTTACTTACTTGTGCACTTACTTACTTAATCCTGTAACCCCTAATGGAGCACAGGCCGTCAACTAGCGAATTATTTTTTCTGATTAGCGTTTTTATATCTTGTCGATCTTCTACGGGATAAGATCTCTAACCTCGTGCCCAACTCTTCTCCATTATCCGGTCTGGGGACTGGCACCAACCCCAAAAAGGTCTTCAGGCGGAATTAGTATATTAGATAATCACAATATATTGATTTTTTATACTACATCTGATCATTCATCCTGAAATACTTCAATGTTTTTTTTTAAATATACATGACATTAATTATCTGTGAGGTCGATAAAGTTAATTACAGTCATTTTTAATCTTGAAATCTAAGAGATAATCAATCATAACCCATGCTTAGATATATATGAGATTACATGCTTTAACAATTTAAAACTCTAACAAACACTGACCTTTGTTTTTTATCTTCAAATCTAAGTTACTTTTTCAAATTTCATTCATCTCATGTAAACTTAATTATTGTCTAAACAATGCATTTATCTCTTTATTTTGAGTACAAGATTGTCAATGAGTTAGAATTAATTCATTAATTTTGAATAACACTTAAAATATCTTTCTCTTTTTATTATTTTAAATAGCTTTTACAATTACATACGATACCACATGGATTTTTCGGCAATGATGATGGTTTCATTGAACGTGGTAGTGTACTTGAAGTTGAATCACTTTTAACTGATTTACAAGGAAAAAAAGTCAAATTATTAATTAAACGTACACCTGATGGCAATACATTTGTTGGTCATCAAGGCCTTAAAGAAGAATTATGGGTGAATTTGTAACCTTGTTTTTTTTCACTAAAAGTATGATATACCAATGACCTTGAGTGAACCAATCAGAATTATGGTAACATGTGATGTTGTTTATGAGAAATTTAAAGTGCAATGCTAAATAATTTGTAGATTCAAATGTTTAAAATCAATAGGGATTGATTTTTATTTTGAAAGTATAAAGTTAATTTAAGTTGGTGTTCAAACTAAGTAACAAAAACAGAACTGCTCTTAATGTAAATTATATGTCTGAGTCCATTTTGTGACTCAAATCATTGTCTAGTGAACTAACGGTATAAATACGCATTGTCTGTAACGTCTTACGACCCGGACCGGACCCGGATCCCTAGTCCGGTATCCTGATTCTCTTCTGGACTCAGACGTCATACTTCCTGGATGTTTGTATAATACACATTCTACTTCATAACAAGTCTTCTTCTTTTAATGAACAGAGGGATTGGGAAAATCGGATTAGAGTAGAATGTCCTGTCACCGGATCCTTGATCGTCGCTCTCGTTTTCCGACTAAGGTAAACTCCTAATAATACAAGCATATCAAAATGATGTGTTTACGTGCATACGTACCAGCTGTACAATCAATAATATATAATTTTCGATTATAATTTCCTTATTAATCGTCCTTGATGAAGATTCAAGCTCCTGACGACAACATTATTCTTAATTCTCTCAACAAAATTAACATTTTACGCCTTTATCTAATTTGCTTCACCATTACTATATTTATCAAACTTTTGAATGTCACTGTTATTGTAATTCTGGGCAAGCATCATTGATAAACAGGCCGAATCTAATGCCGATGTAAAAACAAGGATTAGAAAGATAAGACCAGCATTTCTACAATTGAAAAACATTTGGAACTCAAAACAACTCTCAACCAACACTAGAGTCACAATTTTCAAAAAAAAGCGTCAAGACAGTTCTACGGTATGCATCGAAAACTTGTAGAACCACGAAAGCCATTATCCGAAATATACAAGTGTTTATTAACGGTTATCTACAACAAGGTACTCCACATACGTTGGTCAAACAACCATCAATGATGACCTACTGTAGCAGACAATGGAACAGATTCCAGGAGAAGAAAAAATCAGGAAGAGGCGCTGGAGCAAGGGTAGGACACATATTAACAAAAGCATGCAATGGTTTCACAAGACAAGCCCTCACCTGGAATCCTCGAATGCCAAAAGAAAAGAGGAAGACCAAAAGAACACCTTAAACCGATAACTGAAGACAGACAATGAAAGAATGAACGGCAACAATCGGATAGAGTAAGTTGAAGAATGCCTGTCGGTGATCTAAGCTCCACTGGTAGTGTGGTGTGTGCTACTTATACGAACGATATAAGTAGTATAAGAAGGGACGTGAAAGAAGAAGTCTCACGGTCAGAAGAGGAAAACTGAAAGCAAATGGAGTACCAACAGGAATGGAAGAAGGATGGAGCGTTGGAAGTTACGATTCAAAGATGGTGTGCACATAGAGTATTTAATGTAATGTTTTCGTTAGTTTTTACAAATGAGCGATATTGGGTATATCAAACTTTTTGAACTTTCTGTCAAACTATTTGAGGATTAGAACGACGGATTTCTTCTTGGCCTGATTCAGGGTAATCAAAGGAACAATTGTGTGCGTCAGAGTAACGATGAATGCTACAGTAAAGACCACCACAGCGACAACTGAAACCTGTCATGCCCACACGTTTGTGACATACAGCGCAGCGTGGTTCGGTTTTCGTTGCTGATCCAGAAGAGGATGTGGATGCTGGAGAATCTAGTTTACTATCTGCTTGTAGATCATCATTCAAGGGATCTGGAAGATCGACAGTAGATGCCTCAGCTTCTGTGCATAGTTCATGGGCTGATGAGGTGATTGATTCTTCATTTATGTCTAGCGAAGTATCTGGATTAGAATCGGCAGAAATTTTAATGGTTACAGGAGGTACAAATGAGGAATCACGCTTAGAGAAATTGTCAGCTGCAGAGGCCGTGATCTTCACGCTCCTCTCAGGAGAAAGTTTATCCTCGAAGTTAGAAGTCACATGAGAGACTGCTTGTACACTTTCAGCCTGAACCTGCATACTGCGATGACACTTGGAACAAAATCCATCAAAGTTAGGACTGCCATAAAATCCACATCCCTTGGTAGTAACAGGTGTATGTAAGTAATTTTTGTTAATAAAGTCATAATAACAATTGAATAAACAGCTTTGTTTTTCTCCTACTCTTTGTGTGTTTGTGATTTTTTTTTTAGTCAATGGTAATTGATTGGAATAAAGTTGGTGAAGATGGTATTGTTTGGTTTATTGATTGGCCAATGAAATGTCCAGAACAATTATGTTAAAAGAAAATTCAATTGTTCAATTGTATTAATCATTTAATTCACAAACTATTCATTAGTTTATATAATTTTTATCAATAATGTTTATTTTCAGTTTGAATAAAAATATAGTTTAGTATTTACACAAAGCATTTTGATTTTTTTCCAAATGTAAAATGATATTTATACTAACTACTATCGGATTAGTTTCTGGATTAAATAATGTTTTGAATAAGTCAATGATAACTAGATTTATTGAACGAGTGCATTTTTACTATTGCTACATTTATAGATATCAGAATATGGATGAGTTATCTGTGTGGTGCACGCTGCTTATAAATAGTATATGACGCGAGTAAAAACGTAATGTCTGGCAGCAGAAGATGGGGGAAGACTTGGTGTTTGAACAAAATAGTGACTTCTTGTTGTTGTTGAATACTTGATTTCGAATTCTAAATACAATACATTCGTTTGTGCATATCTTTAATTCTTGATTCACATACTTCTAATTATCACACTGGCGTCGCGATGGAGCTTGTAATGGAACAGTTAGATATTCATTCTACTTCTGAAGCTTTTGAAGATTATTTGGAAAGGTTTGAAATCTGGAGTATGACCAGGAAAGATGTCAAAGATAATAAAATTGTGGCTCATTTCCTAACATTCATCGGAAAAGAAGCGTACAGCTTATTAAAAACCTTGGTATATCCAGAGAAACCTATTTCACTTCCTTATGCAATGCTAAAGGAGTTATTATTGAATCATGTAAAGTGCCCTGGTTTTGAATGCCGTGAATGAGCGAAATTTCATTAGATGATTCGTTAAAATGACCAAAATGTTAAGGAATTCATTCTTGAATTGCAGAAACAGGCTGTCAAATGTAATTTTGGTGATCAACTTCATGTGCAGCTGAGAGACCGATTAATTGCAGGAATTAACATACCTAGTTTGGAAAGAGAGCTGTTAAGAATGTCAAACTGTTCCTTTCAAGATGTTAGAACTGCGTGCATTAACTACGAGGCGTTGAATGAACTTGATATTCAGTCGATGAAGAATTCCAATACTTTGATTAGTTGTCATGATGAAAAACAATTTCAGGGTCAATCAAAATTGTGTTCGTTTAACAGTGGTTCCTATTCTCGTGTAAATATGAACGGTGTCTCAAAAAAGAATTACAAAGGAAATCAAAAAGGTGAGACCAAGTTTGGCAAATGTTTATCATGTGGAAAACTTCATTCTCGTCATTCTTGTACATTTCGTAATGCTAAATGTTTTAGATGTGATAAGATAGGACACATTCAACTAGTATGCAAAGCTACTGTTCATTTTGCCTCAAGTAGTACTAAATCTTGTAACTTAGATTCCAATAATTCAGCTGATCCTAATGATCATTTATCTTTGTCTACCATTTCGAAAGGTAATGCTCATATTCAAAAGCGACTATATACATCGCTTGGTTCATGTCATGACTTTATTGTGGACACAGGCAGTATAGAGTCCATTATTTCATTCAAGAACTTGAAATCGTTAGATCTGAACGTTGTGATACGACCCACTGAAGTATCAATATTGGGGATTACTGGACACAAACTGCATATACGTGGATGTTGTGAATTGCTAATAAGAGATGATAATTCCTCATATATACCATGTGAATTTTTAGTTAGTGAAACAGGACTGTCAATACTGGGTTTAAAGAATTTGAAAAGACTTAAAGTGGATTTGTCTTTCCTAGTTTCTAAAGAAAATTCTGATGCTTTACTTAAAGATTTGATAGCCACGCGTGCTAAGTGCAATGGAGGTATGAAAACGGTTCAGCAAAGGAGTGCCAAACAAATTCAACATGTTGACTACATTTCTCGACAGTCATTACAAGATAAACCTGTTAATACTTCAGACTGTTTGTGGGTGCAACCTTTACCAGTGATACGTCCAGATCTCATTAGAGAAACTCGTAGAAACTTTGGATGTATAATTCATGCTATACGGAAAGGTTGGAATGCTAATCTGAAACGCAGATTCCCTATCTATTTTTCAAAGCGAGATGAGCTATCCACTACTCCTGATGGTATTTTGTGCTTAAATGATCGGGTTATTATTCCTCCCTCATTGCGTAAAGCTGTCCTGGAAGATCTTCATAGTGGACATTCAGGTGTTGAGAAAATGAAGTCCTTGGCGAGGCTCACGTGTTGGTGGCCAGAGATAAATGCAGATATTTGTCGTACAGCAAACAATTGCGAAAAGTGTCATAAGCTGAAAAATCAGCATTCGAAGTGGATTGATTCTATTGCCGCCTCAACATTTAATGAGCTGGAGAGGGGAGTAGATACCTTTCTACTGCAATATAGAAATGCCAGACATTCGGTGACGAAAAAGACTCCATCAAAACTATTAAAAGGAAGAATTCTTCGGTCGAATATGAGATGTTTGGAGTCTGCAGAAGTTACATATTATCGTGGCAATGATCTTCGACCATCCACGGGGATCGTTCTGAAGAATGTCGGGAAATCTATGGTGCGACTTCTAGATATCAATGACTTAAGTACACACAATCGACATGTTGATCAAATACAATTCCAGGAACCAGGTGAGTCTGTTCCAATTTCGGTTGTTAATTCTAATACTAATGAGAGCATTCTAGATAATACAGAGCCTTTATCCAATACACTGTCGGACAGACACAGAATGAATTTGAGAAGAAGACGTATAATTGATTACAGATATATACATTCCAATTTAAGCTGTGACGGATGTGGTGTTTGAATGAACTAGTAACTTCTTGTTGTTGTTGAATGCTTGATTTCGAATTCTAAATACAATACATTCGTTTGTGCATATCTTTAATTCTTGAATCACATACTTCTAATTATCACAGAAGATCAAGAAAGGAAGAGTGGGAACACAATGGAATTTGTATGAAACGCGCGAGCAGTGAAATGTCAGACAATGGAATGATGTTTGCAACAGGAACAGTTCAATTCGATATGATGGATTGGTATTTTGCAATTTAACGATTTACCATATGGTTTTCCTATTTTACTGAGTAACTCTGTAATTTTCGATAAATACAATTTGGTTGCCCTCACATATGATCCCCTTCACTACACCGGAAGGAGGAGAGGCACCTGACTGTAATGTAATATCAGTAGTTTATATGAAAAAAATACAAAGGTCATTGCGTAAAACGAAAGTACGAATTAACAAGTATTCGGTAAAACGTTCACAAGTACAATTAGTTTTAATAATAATCAAATGTTACAATTTTATGTGCTCAAACTAAAGGTGATTTTCTTAAGAGGCCTCTCTCTGAGACTTTGACCCGAAATTCTAATACATCAGTTAAGACAGCGGTGTCATGAAATGCAGTTTCATGGTAAACAGTGACCAACAATAGGTTCATACACTACTCATCTTGTTAGGATCCTAGAGCACATATGCATCACTGGTTTGGAGTTGTGGTTTTCGAATTCTCTTCAGAGGGTCTTTAGCACTTACCATTTCTGTTAAAACCCCCTTCGAATATTCACTTTTCATTCTTCGAATTTCATCAACAACACTTGTGCCATGTAAATGCGATGAGCAAGATTTCCATAGCAGTGGATATATAAGCGTTGCCATATGAAGGCATTTGCAGAGAGACCGAACTCTCTCCACTGTCAATCGTGCCAGGGAATTTGAAGGTACTAATCGAAAATATTTTGCTGTGGCCACATAGTATACATCAACAGACCTATTCTAAATATTCAACAGTTACACTTTTTCACTCTGGTCTTGTTAATATTCACAAGAACGACTGAGAATACTTCAACTGTTTTCTTTAATTGGCTAAGGCTTTAAAGGTTAGTTTAATTCAAATTCCTTACTGTGTTTAGTGACGAATAAACCCTGTAAGTCTTCGATATTGATGCTGACCTCATTGGATCTATTTCAGACTCTAACTGAGGGCGTTCGGTCAAATATCTGCACCAGATCACAGTTGGGTAGGCCGTGCTATGCATCCCTCTGCATCACTCACCACAGTATGTCCAAACCATTCTTCAAACAAACATTCGATCTCCTTCATTGATGACCTGTGGTTGAACTGGGTTCTGCATTCTTCATCTAAATTTTATTACAGGTAAAAGCATTGCCAAACTCTGAATATCCCTGATATGTCTATGTGTTTAGTCAAAGTATCACCTACAAATGTCACACATGTTTCGTTTTGCTTGAATAAGTCCTCAATCAATGCTTATATACTTCGGTCAGGTCTATTTAAACTTAATTCCAAACAATATATTATAACTAGGATCTGTTTTCGATTCCTAAGGTTTTTGTTTTAGCATTCAGGAGAGTCGAGATATGGTATAATTCCCATTGATGTGAACAATTTCACATATCATAACTTCAAACTAGAACTTTTAACTAACAATCCGTTCATCATCTCCTAACAGTTCGTCAAATAGTCGTGAATAAAAGAGAAGTCTTGGGTTAGGTTGCAATCGGAAGTCGATGCCTCGAGGTACATAAACAGGTTTGGGGTAATGAAAGACGTTGAAACGTGATACGAAGAATCTTAATTCTTTCTTAAAAGGGTACAAGAAAGTTGATTGAACCACATAAGATTTGTCAAATCTGAAAGGGTATTATGATAAATAGCATGTGTTAAACAAGTGATGAGTTAATAAATGCTAGTAAGGAGATTTAAGAAGCTATCGAATTTGTGCGTTTTATACCGTTAAGATCTGGACAACTCCAAAGTTGTCGCGAAATAGTTCAAAAACCTTGATCATATTAGATGAGAATGAAATTCTGATTTTCTCATAGATTGGGAGAAAGCAGATACAAATTACAAAAATATGGACTGACTCTGTCAACTAACGTCCCAAAGCTTCGAACGATCGATGGCTGGTACATCCAATCAAAGTAAATAGGACTGGACAGCAACTCTGATGAACGTTTGTCAGTCGACCTGATATTTAACGATTTTAGCAAATCGTATGGTAAGGTTTTTTAGAAACTTAGGTCTTTTTCGATCTCCTGAG